TGGGCTCACTTGCAAAGGTGGTAGTGGCTGTCAGGCCAGCCGCCAACTCTGTGCACAAGTGAAATGTTGAGGGCCCGACGACAGTGACAGCTTTCTCCCAGTACCAATCAGGCTGGCTTTAGCCTATTTTATTTACAAATATGAACATCACAGAGCAGCACAGTGTGACACTAATGGTAAAGCTTTATCTCAAGAGTCAGAGAATGACTATACATCTAGAAGTAGGATGAAAACAAACTGACTTAGGGATAAAGGAGAGAGATTAGACATTTTGAGGCACTAGTTAGCTACCTACAACATGACATGACTACTTGAAAGCATTAAAGAACAATGCTGTAGCTTGTAATCTAGGTCTAAATGTCACCTCTGAAATTAGTTTTGTCATATAGCCCCTCAAAAATGGCGCACGAGGCCATGTGAGAGGTAGCAGCATTTTGTGAATGATAGTTACTTAGTCCTGAGCCGGTCTGGACTGGTTCTGAATAAAAAGGGAGAAAAAGAGATGATGTAGAAAGTCCGCTGGAGTGCGACCAAAGTCCCGACAACTTGGAAGCTGCTGAAAGCCAACAGAGACTCTCTTATGTGCTTCATTTATGTGATCTGAAGAGTGTTCAGAGGGGGGAAAATATAAGGCTGTCCACGCTGTGTTTGGAGGTATGCGGCGTTTGTTTACCAACAGTGTATATGTTAATCCAATTGACCCTCTCTTTCGGTCATTTTCACTCTTTGTCCTCACATTTACCTTGCCAATGTATTTTCAGCACAGCTGCTGTTTTAGTACAGAGATGATATGGTCACATGTATTGGCCTCCAAAAACATGAATCATCTTCTGAGCCAGGTTTCTGGGAAGAAAACAAAAGTCTTTGTCTTTTCGTGGTGTGTGGGATGTGCTATATTTACATCTCAACAGTGCAATTACCTTCGCTGGTGAAATTCATCCTGCCTGTCGTAATGATACACAAGGCATAGCTACACTACTGGAGCCACAGCACTGGCCTGACCATAATGAGACCGGAATGCTATACTTAAGCGTGTTTGCCACAAAAAGAGCATTACTACCTCGCGTTGCTTGCCATGAGTATGAAAACCGACGTCAACAAGAGTTCAATATTTTGTAACTTGTTTTGGCTCCTGAAAATAGACCAAACGTAGTCTGCTCTCATTCCATTCACTGTCCGGGCATTAGTCTTCACCGATGTGTTGTCCACCTGTTTAGGCTGTTTTTAGTAAAAGGCTGAATAAATAGAGAGAGAAGAAGGGGTGGGGGTTTTCAACAGCGAAGATGGGAAGGGGTGAGCCGTAGCAGCAACTTAATGCTATTCACTCTTGGTGAATAATGGCCCACAAAGACATTATCAGCATGTATTCACCTCACTTTGCTCCCCTCCACAGAACCTATTGAACTGCTGCCAGATCCAACCCGTCTATTTCTCAGCCTGAGAGCCATCTTCCTGTCTCTTCTGAGCCTCTTTGGACACATTTGTACCTAGTATCACTTGTTGAGATATTAACCTAGTAGTAGGTGGTGATTGAAAGCAAATAACTATGTAGAGTACGGAGTTGAGTACATTTTCAGCCTTTGTGCGATGGGGATAAATGGTGAAGAAGTACAAAATGGAGAAGGATTTCTTCTTAAAGCGCAAGTTTTAAAGCTTTTTAGGCCTCCTCTTTGTTTTCTTTGCTCAATGCAGAGGGAGGGTTGGAGGAGGAGGAGGAAAGGGGGTTGCAAGAATGCTTGAGTCACACATAAAAAGAGGGATGATATGTGGGGTTTGACAGGGGAGGGTGGGATGAGGGAGGCACTGCAGTGGGAGCTGCCCTGAGGAATGCCTGGAAGGTGTCAGAGAAGTCTTTGGACTGATAATCCTCCACATGGCATTACAATACCCTCACCCACCACTCTGATTTCAGCCCTCCTTCTGTCTTCGAGCTCTCAAACCAATAAGGAGGACTCTCCGCCTGTTAACCTTTGCTTAGTCATGTCTTAAAAAAGCCCTTATAGGAACTTGGTATGGGTCTGACGATGGACAAGCACATGATCCCCTGAAGGTTATAGCCTGTCAGGATCCATAAAGTGTACTTACTTCTCTGTTGCTTTTAGAATGTCACTCTTCCTTGGCACCTCAGCTTTTTCTCACTGTGGCCTTTGGTACCTAAGCAATCCCTCAGGAGTCTCTCCCCCTTTTATTCTAGTGTAGTTTAAGTGATTTGTCAGACAACACAGATCTTAGATGTGCCAAAAGCTTTGCTTTATAGACAGAACAGTTCACATAGATGTGAAGTGACTCTCCATGGGCCTCTGTGACTCAGCCTGGCTAAAAGCTACAGCATTCTTCACTGTGGTCTTTTGTTTGCATGATTTAATTAATCACATTAATGCAATTAATCCAAGACATCTATTTTTGGATCATCTGCTTTATACAATGTGCACACTGGTTATTAGGCGCTGTGACTGCATGTCCTCATTAGTATGTTCAGATAACAATCTGATGTCGGATAAAGGCAAAGTAAACAGTAAAGGATGAAGTAGGTATTGTCAGTGGCATGCTGTGTCTGAGTTCCAAATGGTTTCGTGCAGAAGGAAGTAAAATGTTCCTTTTTTAATATTTTGTGATACTGCAGTTGAAAGTGCATTTTGAATGCAATTTTTTTGTCTTTTGTTTAACTGGTTTTTAAACTTTTTAAATTCCCCTTTCTTTCCTGGACATGAATTCTAGCACCTTTTGTGACAAGCATTTGTTCTGGTATTACCAAATGTTCTTGGCTCACACAAAGAAAATAAGTAAACTAATTAAAGTAACAGTTAGATGGTCAAAAGAGAAATTAAGTAGCCAGTGTAGAAGACAAAAATTTTGGTTAAAATAAGAACCCGACTGATATATCAGCCGATATTTGATGATCACAGATTAATCATTATATATGTATGTATATGTGTGTATGTTTATTATATATATATATATATATATATATATATATATATATAATATATATATATATATATATATATATATATATATATATATATATATATATATATGTATATATATGTATATGTGTATATATATATGTATATATATGTATATGTGTATATATATATGTATATATATATGTATATGTGTATATATATATATATATATGTATGTGTATATATATATATATATATATGTATATGTGTATGTATATATATATATATATATATATATATATGTATATGTGTGTATATGTGTGTATATATATATATATATATATATATATGTATATGTGTATATATATATGTGTATATATATATATATGTATATGTGTATATATATATATATATATATATATATATATGTATATGTGTATATATATATATATATATATATATATATATATATATATATATATATATATATATATATGTATATATATATATATATATATATGTGTATATATATATATGTGTATATATATATATATATATATGTATATATGTATATATATATATATATATATATATATATGTGTATATATATATATATATATATATGTGTATATGTGTGTATATATATATATATATATATGTATGTATATATAGGCTGATAAGTAACAAGAAAAAGCAGGACAGGAATGAATAGAATATATTTGAGGTATAGTTTAGAAACAGAAAAGTGATGTTGTAGTTTATCCACCAGAGAGCACTGACAAGTTTTTTAAAGCTGTAAAATGTTTTAGGCCATACTTAAACAGTTTGTATATGTTATGTGTTTATGTAAAAATTTATAAAGAGACTATTTTACTATATTGTTGTCAGGTTTGGAAACTCAAATATTGATATCAGCATGGCCTTCAAAAATCCAGTGTTGCTTTTACCTACGGCCTACCTGGTTAAATATGAAATGAAGTAATAAAAAAAAAAAAAGAAAGAAAGAAAAAAAAAGGGGAACATGTTCATATATAACAGTGTGCTGGATGCACTGAAATCTTCCAGTGAGAGCTGATAACAGCATTTATTTATTTTACTGTATGCTTATTCAAATGTTTTTGTGTTTTTCATAAGTAATTAGTCTATATTATATATAGATAATATATTTTAATAAATAGGTTTTTACTCTCTATTGTATCTAGGTCAAACTTGTAACTTCTGTTTTTAGGATGTCATTAGAGACAGTAAAGTCTGACTTTTTTCCCATTTAGGAGGTCTGCTTGGGGTCAGGTATATTTTCAGTGGCTAGCCTTTAGTTGAAGGTTTTTGAGGGAGGTGTGGTAAGGAAGGGGGAAAAAAGAGTCCAATAATGGTTCAAATGTAAGATTTGGTGAGATGTAATGATAGAGGAGAGGTGTTAATAGTAAAACATGTCATCTTGAGGGGCTCCCATACAGTCCTGCTGAGCGATTGGTCACGCATGTCTTGGCTCTGCGTTTGTGTGTAGGAGGGATGGACTGTGGAGCACTTCAGGATTGTGGCATTGTTTCATAAATGAATGCTGAGTGGCTCCTATAATTGACTAGGCTTTTGTTTTGTGTTGCTCTCTGGAACAGAGTGGTCAGATTTAGGCCGCTTGGTTCTCTCATTTACCCACAGGGCGTTGTCCAGCTCAAACACAGACAAACACACGCAGTCTAATTGCACCTGGTCTGCCGGACTATGACCTCATTCCAGGAAAAGGAAAAGAAAATCACCTGACAGACTCATTTGTGTAATCAGCTGTTCATGTGACTGGAGGCCAGAGGGTGTATGTCTAAAGCCTCAGGTAATAGATGCATGCAAAGAGTTTCGAGTTGATCCTGCTCGTATCTCTGAGTGTTCTTACAAGCAGTCCCTTATGTCACTGGGGAATGCAGAATACAAAGGGAATAACTGAGAAAACTGATACAGAGAGAACGCGACAAAGCCGAAAACACGCTTTCAACTACCTGAAAAGGGGGACGTACCTGATCTGTCAGCACAGCAAGAAAGGGTGGAGAGAAAGAGAGTGTGAGAGAGAGAGAGAGAGGAGTGACTGTGAGGGTGTGTTTTTGTGTGGGTGAGAGACACAGTGAGAAGGAGGAGGGGTGTAGACAGAGAGAGAGAGAAACCTAGCTGGCTCTCAGATCTTGGCTGCGGTGAGGACACCCAGGAGAAGTGCATTCCTGAGGCAGCAAGCGAGGAGAAGGCACAGATAAGGGAAGATAGAGCGGAGAAGTCGTGACATCCTTTAAATCTCCCCCTGACCAAGTCTGACTGCCTCTGACCTGCGCCGGACTCGCACGCTCCACGCACACTCACCCGCTGCCTTTGCACACCAGCTGCACAACCGGCTCTGCTGCTCTCTCAGACGTAAAGGATTCCCCTTCGAGCGAGGAAAAGAGACGGAGAGAATTAAAATCAGACAGAGGGAATAAAGACAACGGAGAGAAGGACAGGATCCTCTCACTCGGTGAGTGGAAGGGCTTGTTTCAGAGAGTGTTTGAATGTGTCCTTGCCTGTTTGAATGTCAGTGTCAGGAAGTTTCTCTGAAGTCTGCCGATCTCTCTGTGGCTGTGCTATTTGTTCAGTTAAGTGTGAATCTTGTGTTGTGTCTTTGGGGAGCTGAGCTGTGTCTTCACCTGTTAACGCTAGACTCGTGCCACCCAAGTATTCCTGTATGAAACAAAAGGACTCAAACCTGTTTGGGTGAAACTTCACTCTTTGTGCACTCGTTTTTTGTGTGTGCGAGTGTGTGTGTGTGTGTGTATGTGTGTGTGTGTGTGTGTGTGTGTGTTTGGAGCAGTCCCAGTGTGAGTCAGAGAGCAGCCCTCTATATGCATGTTTTTGATTGAGTCATTTAAGTCATTTACCATGTTGGAACTATGAGACAGAGTGCAGGCTATCTCTTTCACAGGTCTCACAGTCACACGGGCTGCTCCTTTTACCACTGTGGGATTAAAGATTAATTTATGGAGGGCACGGGCAGAGTTCAGCTCGCTCGCTGCGTGTTCTCTTACCGCATTTAACTGTTAACGTGCTACACATCTCAAATGCCAACACTGTGCAAGTCTAATGCACCAAACCACTCTAAGCCTGTTTAAACATTGACTCATCATTATGCATGGCTAGTATCTTATTTAACATTTCCCAGCATGGTATGTGTCAGATAGTGGAACTTGGAGCTCATTAGCAGGCTGTATTTGTTATCCAATCAGGACCCATCGATTGGTACCCCCCCTCCCCTCCCTCACCCCTTGGGAGGTGATTTTTTTCCCCCTGACTGACTGTGGGAGTTACACAGTTACAGCATATGTGTTATCTCTGTTTGTGTTTTTCACACAGTGAACTTGGTTCCAAAGAGATAGTGTCATCATAATAGATGGTTGTAAGGGAAAGAGCCAAATGGACAAGTTTTACTCAAGCATATATCATTTATTTATTCATTTATTTTAGTTAGTTGGTGTGGGAGACCTGGGTTCGTTTCCCACTGTGAGACGTCCACCAATGTGTCCCTGAGCAAGACATTTAACCCCTAGTTGCTCCAGAGGCGTGCGACCTCTGACATGTATAGCAATTGTAAGTCGCTTTGGATAAAAGCATCAGCTAAATGAATAAATGTAAATGTATCACATTTAATTGTTACTGCTATTTTTCTTTTTCAGTTATGTGTACCTGCACTTGGTAACCCTCATTTAACTGTACCAGGTGCTGATACTGACTCTGAATACCACAAGCGCCTTGAAAAACCATTTGTCTTCAGTATAGAGTATTTATTACCTCAGTTACTTGATATAATGTACTGCTAAATGAGGCACTAAAGATATTATACCTAAAGTGACTGTCAGATGACAGGATAATTATGTGGTTGCCAGCAGTCTGAACGCATTTTAAAACTTTGAACTTTCTTCCCAGCCTTGTTCAGTTAGCACTTCCTTTCTCTCCACCTTCCCTTTGTATCTCCCCCTCGCTGCCTGGATATTTCTTATTTTCTATCACTTGAATGAGCTTGTTCAGCATGGAGAGAGCAGAGTGTCCTCTGAGAGTCGCCTTGCCTTGTTCTCCGCAATGTTATTTTTACTGCTCTTTCACTGCTTGAATACACAGATGGACTCCCCTCTTCTTCCAGAATAGTCTGTCTGCGTCTCTGTCAGTGTGTCTGTCTTTCACTCAGCTGGCATGGCAAGCAGATTGAGTGTACGCCGAGATACCTCTTGGGAATTCTTGATGGGAATTTTTCAGAGTCATTCTTCATGCTGTGAAGTGACTTCTTTTCTCACCGTCCTCATGAGGAGCGTTTCCCAACTTCTGCAGATGCACTCAGGGCCAGACGTAATTGGAAATGCTATGACAGCATAACAGTGAAATAACATGTTTGCATGTTTGGGGTTGTGATTATTTTTGGGAAGGTGGCTTGAACCACTTCCCCTCCCTTCTTTCTCACGTGTTGCTCTGTCTACCTCTCTTGCTCCCTCTTGTTCTTTCCGTGTGTCCTTCCCCTGCCTGTGCAATGTGACAGAAAGTAGTGCTGTGCTCGGCTCATGTCGGATCCATTAGGGATGAAAGCACACTGCAGTGATAAAAGATTGATCCAGTCCCCCTTGCATCACACTCACATCCCTCACACCCTGCTTCCTCATCCTTCCTTACACCACTATTTCCAATCCAAAGTCAACCCAGTTTTCAATTTATCAAATCATCTGCACTCCTCTAAATAAATCATCCTCACCAAGTTTACTATGGCAGACTTTCCCCGCAGGATTTCATAAAGGGGAACATTTTAGTTTTTTTTGCTGTACTAAGCCTGTATGTACAAGGTTACAAGATCTCGGTGATGCAAAGAAAAGATCTTCCTTCTCCTGAAATTCTCTTGGCAGCACATGCAAAAAAGTAGAACCTCATTCACTCTCCAGGTGTTTTTGTTCTACCAGGGTAATATGTATTTGGCTAGCATAGCCAGCTAAGCATACACAGGCCTTGCTTCACCTGTTGTATCCGAGGAGGCAAAGACAAACACAACAGACCTGTAGTTTGTCAGCTGGGAGCCTATAATTACTGAGAGGAAGGAGAGGATTTGGAAAAGGAATTTCACTGCGGGTTCTGCTTTTAGATCTTAAGACATGAACATTTCAAGAGCACCTGAAAACACAGTTTTTGAGTTGTAAAACTGCAGAAATTTCTGGACCAATCAGAAACAAGTGTTTAAATCTTTTGATCCCAGCTGGAAGTTTGAGAAACATATCCCCAAGGGAATGGTTTGTTGTACTTGTTTTTGTCTTCAGTCAACCTTTTTAGGGAGTGTTGTTGAAATAATTTTAGGTCATTGAGCAACATACATGTCGTTAGCCTCAATCTCTCTTCATTCATGCAGCATGTGTAGGTCAGAGGTTGGATTAAAACACCTTCTCTCAGAATGTCCTTTCAGAGCTTATTCCTAAGGACATGTTCCCAAGTGAGTCCAGCTGGCTGGAAAGTCAACCTGAGTGAATGCTGTCATGCCCTGTCAGTGTGAACTTTGCGTAGCCTTCATGGGCATTTGCCCTGTCTTGTCATCAAACCAGTAGCTTCACATTTCCTGTTCTGTTGTAACAGTTTGACACCACTGGCAGGTAATAGTTGCTGGGGATGTCTCCGTCTGTTTGTCTCTCTGTCCATGGCTCTCGGTCCTATCGTGTGTAGTGATTGTTGTGCGGTAAACATCTCTGCCAGCCCCCCTGGGATAGTCATGTGACTGTGTGTGTGTGTGAGACAGTGAGCAGCAGGTTGCTCCCTCAACCAGCCACGCTGTGTTGACTCTCTTCACACAGGGCTCTCTGGGCAGTAAATAACAGGGTGCCTAAATAACATGGACCGGGGGGGGGGGGGGGGGGGGTTCAAGACACCAGCAAGAAAGAGAAAATGTCTTCCTCGGGGGCCCAGAGATATTAAATCAACAGAGAGGAGAGGAGAGAGGCAGGTGGATTTGACAGACTTGTCCCTCATGCTGAGAGGCTTGACATTAGACCTCTCATTGAATGTAGATGTGTTTGATCGAGCACATCAGAAGCAAAACAAGTAAATGTTGCTCATGGGTATAGATGGCAGTTACTCGTACACAAACGCACATTGGTGAGCAGAAATACACGTCTGAGCAAAAATCAGAGTTACAATGATTTTACCTATTTATTTGACACAAGTGTATTGACAGCAAATAAACAAGAGTCTTTCACAGGGTTAAACATTAGTGATTGTGATCATGCTTACAAGCATGTGACTGCATGAAAGACAGGAAAAAGCTAAATTAGGAGAGCCTGCGTAACCAAATATAGGCATCGGTACATTTTTCACCTAGCCCTAGAGGACTGTCACATGCACATGCATTTTCATTCTGTCATTTTGTTTGTTCAAAGAATATACTCAAAGCACAATCTTTCAGGTAAATCTGTGCCACTTATTGTGCACACTTCAGACTACCATGCTTCCCACAACCCAGTGACAAATAGACCAAAGTGGACACTTTTTTCATCCGTAGAGATGAACAGATAAGCCGTATTTTTGGTGTCACTTTACTCTCTTGTCTGCAGCTTAAGGTGCTTCAGACCTGGGCCCTGTGCCAAGATGCAGGTTTACTGAGTTGCCTGGGTACCTTGGCAGAGTAAAACCTGGCTCCCCCTTCAATGCTGAACTGCCTGCTCCAGGTTTTACATAGCAAAGTTATCCAGATAATGTGGTAAACTTTTATGAAAGGCCTCAGTTATCATGCCCATGAGACCGACCATAGTTAATTGTTTGGTCAGTTTCATTTTGGCATACCACAGACTTGGGGTTTGTTGCAGTCTGCTGTTTAATATTCTCCCTTTAACACACACTCGTCTTTGTGCTGTCTTGTCCACCCTCCCCTTCATCTCTCCTCCCCGTCCTCTCCCTTTGTCATTCCTCAGGGGTAGCCGACTTATCTCTCATATGCAAACTCAACAACAGCAGCCTTGTCGGTATTAAGCTGTGTGTGTGTATGCATGTGTATCCATGCCAAAGATCTCTCCGGTGATCTTGAGTCAGGGGGGTGAAAAGCAGCTTTCTGGCGGTGAAGGGGCACCTCAGACAGATATACCGTCGTAGTCCCAAAGGTGTTCCTAGGATACTGAGAATCGGCCATAAATCTGAACCCTGCCCTCCTACCTTTTCCTTACTCATCTCGACTGTACCCCCCTCCCCTCCCCCCCACTGTTCTGAGAGGCGGGATCGTTACGCCTCCTCAGAGTAATGACAGGGAGAGAGTCGTGTGTGACACCTCCCTATCAAACTATAAATCAGGCGTATTGAGAGGCCCACTCTAAGCCTTGTGATGCACGTGCAACATAAACAGATTTCACCCTACACTTTCTGGCTGGGTATATCAACCCTCAGTACTTTGTTGGTACAGAATGAACACTGTGTATCAGAAAGTTCTAAAAGCTTGCATCCAATGCTCAGAAAACTTTGTGATTTTAATTCAAAGTTCGCAATTTTTGTCAAATGGAGAAAAATGGCATTTTGTAGAAAATCAAGATTATATTTCACAAAGACAGATGATGTTTTATCCAAGATAGAGCTTTGTTATCATCACCAAAGCATTACATGGTATGGTATGGTATCAGTGTGGAAAAATGTAAACAACATCCAGCCATAGTTGCATTAACACCATCCTTAACACATTTTATCCTTTTCCCAGCACATTAAACCCCAACCCCACCGCCCAACATCAGAAGATGAAGTTCTCTGCATTCAAGGTACAAAGTACAAGGTAGTTTATTTATCATTATACAACACAAGATTGTTCCTTTTCCAATGACCTTATTTCTGTCACATGCTTCGGAAAAAAACGGATGAAAAACAAAAGTGTAGCAAAGTTTGAAGGAGCTACCTGCTGCTTCATAAACATTCATTGCCGGTTCCATAGCATTCATGCTTTCATAAAATATACTAAAATTATTTTAAAACATCTCTTTTCTGTCTGTGGGGAAAAGATGCACTCTGCCTGTGACCACCTGGTAGTCTGAGCATTATTTTTATTTTTGCATTAACCTCCCTGTTAACTATGATCCATCTCTGTTGTAATAATACGTTTCACTTTTAAGTAGTTTTTTTATTCAGAAAATGGCTATAAAATCGGACCTACATGTGATTTGACATGTGTTCACAGTACAAAAGCTTTATTATATATATATATATATATATATATATATATATTATATAAAGTCAAAACATTGTTCATGATTTGATGACGTATTGTACATTCCAAAGCGCTCGTCTGTACAAACCTCCCAGTATGGACCTTATCTCAGCACACACAACAGTATTTTTGTGGAATGAATCTTGGGATAAATTAAAAGACATCTTATCTGTCTTAACTGTTTTCACGGTGCTGCGATAGGTTACCTGAAGGTCCACACACACACACACACACACACACACACACACACACACACACACACATGCTGCCTTTCTGTGTCTCTTTCCAAAGGCCAGGTATGTTGGAACTCCCAAGGTAAATATTAGTAGCATGTGAGAATAGATGTTTTTGCACAGCAGACTGACTTAAGCGGTGGAGTAACATGTGGCTTGCTCTCCAACTACCTGGCAGCTGTTCAAAGTATGTCACAGTCCGGGGACTCCGGCTTTCAGTTTCAAAGTTGAATCTAATCAAAACCAGCAGTGAATGGATTGAATCAGTTTGTGAACTACCACTGTAATGTCCGTGACCTCAGATTGATGTCCTGGGACGAAACTGAGCGGAATTCTTCACTTTCATCTGTGAAAACATTCATTCAGCAGACGGGTCCGTGTTTTCCTTTGGTTGGAGTCATATATTTTTGTAGTAATATTAACGGTCCAACCCTGCACAGGAATGTGCACCTGCTCTGTCCTGGATTGATAACAGCCTTACCTAAGACTGAACTTAAGTCTTGTATATCACTGTCTAATGATGTGACAGAGCTGTGTGTAGATGATGTAGGTCTTTGGCTTTGAGCTTTCTCGAATACCATTTTTCTTTGCAGCAGCACATTGATATTTGTTTCCTTGGGCATGCTGATGGCAAAATTCTCTTTAACTCAGATAAGGACTGGCAAGTGTATATTTTATCATGGATTGCTCGGAATTAAAGTATGATGAAAGACCAACACCAGTCTCAGTCGCTGGCAAAATAGCCTCCCTTCAATACATCTCCAGTCAGAGGAGTTTTCAACTGTATGAATTAAATTACATTCAGCTGCCTGGACTGAACCATTGACGTTTTCTTTTGTATAATTTGAGGCCTTAGAATGTAAGATGACAAAAAAAGAAAGCAAGAAAACTGGAGTGAATAATTGATATGAGCAGACATGGAAGCGGCCTTTAAATTACTGATGAGCTTAGCTTCAAACCTGTGACACTGGAGGCTGTGCCATTCCTGACTCCTCACAGAGGAAGTGAGAGTAGAGCACACACACAAACACACACGCACCTGCAGAAAAATTCATCTATAAATAGCAAGGGTTGGTAAATTTAAGGCTACTAATTTCTACTCGTGTGTTGTGTAAATTACATCCTTTTTAAATGAGTGGGTTCACTTTTACAGTTACATGTTGCTTTAGTCCCACATAAAGCATCGTCATTTAGTTTGAGTCAGCCAGTCTGCTGTCTGTCTTTCAACTATGTAACATATTATTTTAGTTGTGTGATAGCTGAATGTCCATCTGACTGTACTCACTGCACACTTGTATGTGTTATCTGATGTGTGCACTCTGTATTGAGTTTGGCTGGGAACAGACCAATGTCCTCCTTCCCTGGCAAACATTGCTGAGTCAGGTCGGGGGTATGTAATTACACATGGGTGCCCATCAGCAGTCTGAGAGCCTTCTTCCCTGGCTCACCCAACAATACAAACTCCTGTGCTGCTTGCAGGGCTCAGCCTGCAGACAGCCAAACCACTCATCCTGAGCCGAGGTCTCGGTGGAGGCCAGTTCTGCCTGGCCTTCCACAGGCTATGTGCAATCCTGCATTATCATTCTCACCATCAGCTGCTGGCTCTGTGGGTGGATCCATGAGTCAGCGCAAACAAATTCCTGGTCTCTAATGTACTCGCCTCCGCACGTTTTCCGGGGTTGAAGTGAATGACTACTGCCAAGCCAGGTATGAATAAGTCTTTCACTCGGTGAGATGAATAATGTAGTATTATTTTATTGTGGCTGGGGCTGTATAAACTATTGAGCCCACAAGCTTGTGCGAGTGTACCTTGTTTCATTTATTCATTGAGCCTATTCAATGAAATTCAAAAGTGTGCCAGGGTTTCTTTATATATCCAAAAACAAAACTTACCTTCTAAGCATTTTCGTGAATTCAAATGAACTTAAGAGTCTTTCTCTCACACCTTCCCCCTCCCTCCTTCTCTCTTGTGGTTCAGGACAGGTTAGCCTCTGTCTGTATGAGTGCTGCTGGAGATTCATGATGACTGGGATTTCACACTAAGTGCTGTTTTACACAGTGTGGCTGCAGTAGTAGTGACAACCACAGTTGATGGCCATGCCCTGAATGGCCGTGTCGAGGCCTGCTTCAGATCAAATGGAATAATTGACCTCAACCTTTAACCCTCCTCCATCATCAATTATCGCACAGCGATTACACAGAGTGGAATAACCCCATTCATGCAGCTGATCTGGGACATGCGCTCACAAGCTTTTACTAATGAGTCTGCTTTTGTAAATATATATACCTCTGCCCATATTTGCCCTTGATTTAGAGGCAGAGGTGTGCCCTGTGCTAATGAGCCACTGATCCACTCTCATTGAGATTTCACACTTGGACGAACCAATCATTATAATGGAGAAGGCTGAAGGCTGCAGCGACAGATTTCTGTATCTAAGTATGACGACTAAAGCTTATTAGTGCTGTTTCTGATTCCTCTGCGCCAAGTCATTAGCATGTCAATAGAGGAGAGACACGGACGGACAGGGGACATTTTTCAAAGAGTTAGTCGGTCACAAGCGTTTGGTTTTTGTTCCAAGAAATATTTGCCAAATTAATGTGCTGTGACAAAATGCATTATTCATCAAGTGTGTTGAAGCTTCAGTGAAGCTTCAGTGAAGCTTCAGTGAAGCTCCGTTAGCGGGGAACCAGGCAAGCAGTTTGTCTGGAGCGCCTGCTGCAGCCTGGCCCTCTACTGTGAGGAAGAAGAAGCAACACAGTCAGTGTCATAGTAAAATACACAATTTTATATGTATACACTAATGCCTGCATATAAATTAAATGCTATCTCATAAACACACACAAGTTTTCCTTTTTGCTGCAGAGGTTTTGCATGTACAACAAAGTGAAGAGACTGCTGTTTGATGTTTTGTTAACGCCCCCCAGAAAAACTAAACCATCTAGCCGTGGCTAAACTATTTTTCCTACGTTTTACTGCCTTGTCACATACTATAAAAGCAAATTATCTTTTGTGTGAGAGGTGTGTCTACATTGGAAAGTTATTAAGTTTTAATTTAGCCCAATAGAAACCCTCAGATCTTGGATCTAGTTTCCTCATGTGCCCAGTGGACCACTCCCTGCTCTCTGACCGCAGGCTCTGCAGCACCGCTGATAATGGCTTCTACATGGGAGTTACGGTGTTGTGGGAGCTGTGGATGGCTCTTAGAAAGCATCGCTTTCTTCATGACAGATCTGGAAGAAGATCTGTTAGAATCAAATCAAATCATGATCACAAATATATGAGGCTAGGCTAGGCTTGTCTGTGCTATTTTATAAAGCATCCACCATCTGCGTTTGCCTGAGGACTAAGTTGGTCCTAGTGTGTGCAGATGTTCTGTATAGGGGATTAGCACAGTTCAGTCCCTGAAGCAACATTTACTTTTAGAAAGACTTCTGATCTTTTGAAAAGAGATGTTAAAGAGTCGAGCGATACTTTGTGAAAATACTGGTGAATTTATGCAGAAGAAAAATTCAAATTGCAGGTGGAAGAAAAGAGAATCGGAAATGTAAGTTATTATTCTAAAAAGCCTTTTTCCATTAAAGTACTATGTAGGGAAGCTTTCCAAAGCCCTGGGGCTGTGTCTGCAAAAGCTTGCTCATCGTTAATAATGATGTTGATGGTTTTTTCTTTCACCCAGTTGGTTGCTTCCAGCACCACGTGGATACTTCTGTCCAAATTTAGCGTAAGTGGTCAGCACCCTTACCAGATTAGTTGTTTATATGAGTTTTGATTAAATAATTAAAGCCAGTTGAAACTCCTGCAATGTATGGTTGTTGTACTTGTGTGTGTAGTACCACACTTTTGTAGGAAGTGTACATGACATTTAGACAGTGGACATTTTTCTTGCTGTGCAAACAGAAAGTGACTGAGAATACCCATGTGATTCAACACGAGATTTCCACAGAGAACCAGTTGTAATTGCTGAAGCAAAAGGATAATTTTCTACCATTATGAATAATTATTGTGCTGCACTCAACTACGGGCATGTTGTGAACTTTTCTGGTTGTCTTTGCTCTCATCGGTCTTTGAGAACATAAACGGCGCTCACTTGGTAGACTGAAACACCGGATGACAAAGAAGGGGGAGGAGGAATAAAGAATGCAAAACAGGCGAGGCGAGGGAGGACAAAAGAAAGTATTTTATTAGTTTTATCACTGGTAACATGTGGACACAGCAGAATGGCTGTAAAAGCTGGCGAGGCACAGCAGATGACACGGTGATGCCAGGGGCCACAAAAGAGGCAACACTGTCTGCTGAGTGAGTGTGGAACCAGAACAACAATAGTGTCTCTGCAGTACAGATGAGACCAGGCTGCTCTGTGCCAGCGTGTTACTGGCTCTTTGAGTGTCTGTGTGTCTCTGCCAATGTGGACCAGAGTGGCACAGAGGGGACAGCTTCTCCCAGCACTGTTCATTGTCCTCTAACAGCGATGTCTAACCTGTTGTATACACTTTAACCAGCCTGGGCCAGGGTCTTATTTTCTCTGCTGATGCTGATAGGGAGAACTGTTTGTCTACACTTGTATTTCTGTGTGTTTGTGTATCTGACGTTGGTTCACATCTGAGGCAGTGTGTGATGTACGCTCTGCCCTTTACTCCTGCCATTGTTCCACGGACTTCTGTTGTTGCAGAGATAGCACAGTAATCACGCTGAGCTGGAGCAACCTCACATAAATATAGCCCTAAATGGCAGGCTTGCTTGCAAACACACTTACACATACAAGCTCGGACATGAGCACATACAAAAGTACCTTTGACCATTGCACTAGCTTGGCACACACACACACACACACACACACACACACATTACACACGCAGCAAGTATCCTTCATGTAGCCTAAGAGTTCAGGTGTTGAGCAGCTACAGTACATTAAAAACCTGCTTGGAATTCTTCTGAAACACCAAACACAAATTAATCATTTAAACCTTTTCTAAGGAGATCAGGGGTTAAGGGCAGGGCTGGGTGGTAAGGCCTAACATTTTTATCACTGTATAATTTGAAGCATGGAGAGTAATGGTATAGCATGGTATATCCGCTTTTCCTACATTTTCAATAAATGTTTCAGAAGGGTAAAGCACTGGTATGGCAACATGGCAATTCTTACTGTACTCTTAACTGTATTATTAGGACATATTTCATGTTGTACAGAGGTATTGTAAGAACATTTATTGTGAAAAACTGCAATAATAAATACAAAACCTTTTCTTAATTAACTTCCAGCTTTTTTCTTTTCTGAAGATGCATTCAATGCTTTCCTCATACTCCAGAACATGTTTTTATTTGAGGTGATAGAAAAGATTGCTTGTATTACCAACCCCCTTTGCGACCACTGTTGTCCAACAAAATTTGCAGATTATCGTTTTCTGCTTGTTGTCTGACTTTTGATACCTAGTCCACATCTGTATAATGGAAGCTGAACCAGCCGTTTCTTTATATCCAAACAAAGCTGCATGGGCCTCACGTTTTCCAGACAATTTGCTTTCGCAGACTGATGAACGACAAATCTTGCTCTAATGGTCAGCACGGTTTAGTCAGATCTCATAACGTTGGGAAAATTCATACCAGTGTACTTTCTATCTGTTTTTACTGTCCACCCCTATTTAAGGGTTTGTCCGTCCAGCTGCATGAATTCTTGTGCATTTGTGCTTGTGTGTATGCCTTTTTGGATTCTCCTGTGCAAGAAAAATCATGCAAAACTAAGTGGGGAGTGGGTGTCTCCCATGTTTCCCACAAGATTGTTGTCTGAGCCAGATGTTAGGTGTTTATTTTTAAATTGTAGAGAGATGGGTCCTGTCAGAAAGTGGACGTCCACACATCTGTGGATTTAGACATGTATGTTCATTCTCAAGCCTCATCGTGTCACATATTTTAAGTAAATTGACAGCAGTTGTTTGGGCATATGGACAATTCCTTTTGGTCTGAAAAGGCCCCTCAATTTACAGCCCGACTCTGTTGCTTGCACAGGGTGGCACGCAGACGAGCCGCATCATGCCCAGTGTGTCTGCAGGGCTGCTGCGATCCTAACCATTTCTGCCTTGAGTCGAATTCAGCGAGAAGCTAGGAGACTGTTATTCAAGGGAGACAGACAGAGGCACAGACAGGGTGATGAAAGATGCAAAGCGGGTTAGCTGGATGGGTGAGTGATGATGAGAGGGTAGAGGAGGGAATGGCACATGGCTCCAATCACTGCTCTTTTCTTCTACCATTCTTTCTCCCTCTTCATGTGTCTATCTGTCAGACTTTTTTCCCACATATATTCTCTCCCTTTCTAATTTGCTCACTGTCTGTCTTCCTCTCTGTCTCTCTTTCTCTCCCTTTCATCATACCGTATGTCTAGTCTGTTTTCTTTATTCAATTTAAGCTCCTCAAGTGCCTTTTTTGTGCTTGTGTCTGAGCCTGGAGTGGGAGATTTTTGATTGCTCCTATAAGTGATTGTGCATTTTCATGATTTTTTCCTATGAAAAAACACCTGCCAGGCCAGAGCTCAGAGTTTAAACAAAAACTGTGTCCTGTTTTTTTTTTTGGTGGGTGGTGTTAGGGTGAAAGTAAAGGTGGGAGTTGGAGTCGCCCTCCTTTTTGGATAGCAAATGTGTTGGTTGACAGACTCTTTGGCTTTTGCAGTATTTTGAACATTATTTCAGCCCCTTTTGTTGTTGTTGAGGGCCTGCTTTGACAGTATGCTTCATGATACTGAGACTACATATCACAAACAGTGTAAATGTGCTTCTCCTCCTTCTGTATTTCAATGAGAACTGACACAGGACTCCGGAGCTATGCCGTGAAAAGGACCTGGGTCAGGCGGATGTCTGGTTCTCAGTTTGTTGTGCCTGTGACAAAGAGAATAGACAGCAACCTGAGACTCACAGGCCTGTTTGTTTCCTGTTAGCGTAGATTATCACATTTCACCAGCCAGGAGGGACGAGAACTAAGCATCATGAGAGAATGACATTCTTAGCCCGGGAGATGTCGATGTGTTTGTGTTCTCATTTAATGAGATTGTTACAGGGCATAGAAATCTATTATGGATAGAGAGACCTTTCAGCTAGGTACTGTCCGCAAGTTTGTTTGCATGAAAATTGCATCAACTCCAGTTAGGTACGACCTAATTTCCCTATACATGCAGTTTGTATTTCACAAAAATGTCAAAAGTTCAACCTCTGTTTGAACTTCAAATGTTTCTTTCCGTTCCCCCTTGCATGTTTTAAAAAAGCCTCACAGCTAAAGTAAATGATTGTCCAATGACTGGCTAATGTGCTTAATTATGTATTGCAACACAGCACCCTCGGTGCCCTCTCGAAGAAAAAATGTACGTCTCCGCTGTGGTGTTTGATTTTGATAGGCACTCCTTTTTCATATCAAGTTTCTTTCCAGATGACATCACCTCGCTTGCATGGCTCAAAAGAATTTCTACCACATGTGATCACCCATCTCTATCTCCCACTTGTTTTCTGTGATCTCGTTCTGCTGGTTCAGTCACTGAGCTGTGCCGTCATTGCGTCTGTACGTGGTGTCATGTTGAGCTGTTCTATGTGATGTTGTTGCCACATCAGATAGGCTGTTGCTCCGCAGCAGAGGTTGTGTTTGGCGTCTAAACAGCGGTCGCAGCAGTGGTGGAGCGGGGCAGCTAGGTCAGCAGCAGAGGGGTTGGGGTGGGGAAGAGGGCTTTGTTAAGAAAAGCAGGATTTCTTCCGGCTGGCAGATGAAGTCAGTGCATTCCTCCAAAGCAGCTCCCTATAGGCAGCCAGTGGAGCAGAGCCAGGCACTGAATGAGGGGCAAGATAATGGTGGGGCTCAGTATTAAACACCTCCCATTGAGAACCGGAGAGACAGGCAGAAAGAGAACACCATCTGTCTGACTGGGTGGAAAGTTGTCTTTTACCCACCTAGGTTAGAAAGTTTCATTTACTGTGCCAAGTTCTATAGATAATCCTACCACTGCCCGAGGCATTTCACTTTTTTATGAGCACTGCGGTATTTTATTACCTTGTTTTGAAGCTTAGCAGTGAAAGTACAGACAGACAGAGGGAGGACTGAACATAATGATTTTCATTTAGGTTAAACCTGCTGCGCAGATGTGTGCTGGGTTACCTGCTGATCTGCTCTCGGAAGTCTGAGACCCAGTTCTGGTGCCTGCTGAGGGGGATCAAATTGAGGGACATAAACACACACAGACACACACACTTGTTCTATCTCTCCTGCTATGTTTCTATGTATTTCTACCCGCACATACGCCCTCTCCCAAACATAGACACACTTGAGTTGCTCCACTTTCCCTGTCCGTTCCCCTCGGCAGTAAGCTATCATAACGTCTTTGAAGGAGGGCAGCAGAGCGTTTAATTGGGTTACAGATTGGCATTTCTGCTCCCAGGTCCACAAGATACAGCCTGGGCTCTTAACTAACCACTAGGAACTTAACAAAATGCTACACTGCTCAACCTCTCGACTGCTAGTCTTTTTAATTCAATGATGCGCACACTCAGCACAGTACATTTTTGACGTCTGTACTGTTTGGTGTTGAAACTAACAAAATGACTAACACTTGATGGTACTATGTATATGACAACTTCCAGTGTGTTTTGTTTAGGTTAGCAACACATTGTGTGATATGTGGGATAAGATTACAAGGTAACAAGGTAGATTTAGTTACGATTTTTTAACACAGGGTTGTATAACAAGATTAAATTGTAGTTCCCTTTATGCTACTCACAAAAAACAACTTATGTAAAAATGATAGTGTGTAGATGGTGGATAAATAACAAGTCATAGAAATAAAACTATTGTACATGGTGGAGTCTCACAGCTTGAGAGACGGAGCTGTTCCGAAGTCTGGTGATACGACAGCGGTTACTTCTGTATTTCTTGCCAGGCGGCAGCAAGGTGAACAGTCTGTGGCTGGGTACTGTCCTTTAGTATCATCATGATACATGCTCGATACGATAAACGATACATCACTATCCAAACGTAGGTCTGGTGTCTTTTTTGTTACCCCCAAGAGCATTCCACTGTTTTAACATTTACAAAAGTCTAACATGTCTCCCTGTTCTTGTCTTTCAGAGTCAGTGCCATGCATTGTTGAGTTGAGCCAACCCAAGCTGAAGTGATCGGTTTTGAAGACCATCTTACCCTTTACCCCGTCCTGCCTGGTCCCAGATGGAGCTAAAAGTGTGGGTAGACGGAGTAGTGCGGGTTGTATGCGGCCTGTCTGAGGAGACTTCCTGCCAGGATGTGGTCATTGCTCTGGCCCAGGCCATTGGTGAGTACCTCAAACTCTTTTCTGCTATGAAATCATTGAGTTTTCATGTTGTGAAACCAATTTCCAAGCTGTTGTTACTTGGCACCATGTTTATCTGTTTGACAGTTATCTAAAGGCTTTAAGTGATTAGATAACAGTCTTGCAGGGAGAATTTGAAGCAGACAAAACAAAAGTACTTGAGACATGCCAAGGTTGCAGCAATCTGGTTCTGCGCTCACTTTTTCATTCTCCACTGATTCAAATCAAGTACTCTTCTGGATTGTCAGTTTGGATTTGTGCGGGCTCTCTGTCCCTTTATCCTCCGGCTTTAGTCAAGCCATACGCTGCATCAGCGATGAACAACATAACTCCAGATTTAGCACTCTCCTCCTTCCATGAGTGAGCTGCCTGCCAAGTCATAAGGGAGGTTTTGTCCTAATTTCAAGGTCCTTGTGGAAACTTCAGTTTATTCAAAAAAAATTTCATGTTGTGCAAGTCTTACGCGGCAGCCTTTTATTCCAACCCTCAGAGGCCAGGGATTTAGAGGTATCAGCATCATCATAATGAGCTTGATGTCATTTGTTCACTTAGCATTACTTCTGTAGAAGCAGTGGGGGGAGTCAAACCAGCTGCCTTAAATACACTGGAGGAGAAGAAAGGTCTTCCGCAAGTAACTGATCAACAGTCACGGCTGATTTATGTTTGTTTAAAAGAGATTCATGCAGCTTCTTCAATTTAAGATATTTGTGTAGTGGGTAGATATGGTGGTGGTTAGTGTTGTTTTTCAGTTTGTAGACATATTTCTGTGTACTCACTCTGTCTCTCTCTGTCCACAGGCCAGACAGGCCGTTATGTTCTGATCCAGCGTCTTAGGGATACGGAGCGGCAGCTGTTGGCCACAGATAGGCCTCTGGAGTCTCTGGCTAAGTTAGGCCAACATGGCAGTGAAGTTCAGTTCTTCCTGCGCCGCACTGGCCCTAGCAGCAGTGACGCACCTGGCTCAAAACAAGACGGACCAACTCCCCACCCACTGCCCAAGCATCCTGAGCCAGAGCCATCGAAACGCAGCCAGCCTAAGAAAGCGCACACCTTTAACCTGGGGCCATCTACCTCCCCTAGAACCAAACCATTTAAGAAGTCTCCTCGGGACTCTCCAGAGCAAAGACCCTCCCCCTCTCCTTCTCCCAGCCCTGTATCTTCTCATGTGCCATCGCCGTCTCCCTCACCACTTACAGGCCCATCCAAAGAGGAGGTCTTTAGGAAAGTTCTTCAGCAACAGGAGAGACTGAGGGCCATCGAGGCCCAGCTAGAAACCCTAGAGAGGGAGTCACGTTCCTGGGAGTGTCCCTACCCATCTCCATGTCCTTCACCCGTTTCTGACGCTCGCTTGCAAGAAGAGATGGAGACACTGGAGCAAGTGGTGCGGAGAAACCAGGCCGAGCTTGCCCATGAGCAGTACTGGGAGGAGGAGCTTCAGGCAGAGGTGGAGAAGGAGCGAGGAATGAGGAGGAAGCTGGGGGAGCTCCATGCCAAGCTAGACGACTGTGGACGGCGGCTCCACGAGTTCTCCGTGCGCTCGTCTCAGCTGGAGAAAGAGATCCAGCGGGAAAGCCAGGAGGTAGGGAAAGCCAGAAGACCTGAGGAGTCCCTCGATGCCATGACGGCAGAGCTCCAGAGACAGGAAAATCACGGGACAGAGCTGGGGGAGCAGCTATCTGAGACTGACAAGGCTCTGGGGAAGGCAGAGTCTCTGCTGCAGGTAAGGAGAGAGGTCACGGTTCTGGAGAAAGGGCTATAAATCCACATAAGCCCATGTGGCGTTTGAGGGGTGTAACCACAGACCTTCTTCTAGCTATACTGTAAAACTGTATCCCTCTCCTACCTGCATTCTGCAGCAGACAAACAACAGTGCAGAGACACTCATAAAAGGAAAAAGAATACTAAAACAGGAAACATGATTTATTGTGGCATTTTGATATACAATATTTATTCAAGACATTACGATGACTACTGACTGTGTACTCATATCCTACCTTGTATGAAAATGTATTCTCTGAAGAACTATTTAAAGCCTAGCGGAACTGGTTTGGCAGGTATCATCTTGTATGCTTGTTCTGTTTATATTACATTGCCAGTGTATACATATTCTTGTACCCTGTGTATGGAAAAAGAGATTAAAGAGGATTGATTTGTAGAAAAAGAAGGCCCCTTTATTGGATCAATTTAGCCTCAACTTATCGTAGTTTGTAGCGTCGTTGTTTGTTTACTTTTGATGGTTGTCATAGGTTGTCAAAGCTTAACCCAGTTTGAAGTGAAACTCGAGTTCCCTCAAAATCCACATGGAATCCAGGACTCGGGTATCCACTTCATGGAGCTCATTCAGAGTAGTTCCAGCCAGGGAAGTGAAGAACATTAAATTCCTATTTTATTGTAGTAGAGTAGATGGTGTTTTAAATGTTTTGTCACAAGGAAATGGAGCACACTGAGGGCATTTGTAGTCTAGTGTTTCCATGTCTTCATTAGCAAAGATCATCCAGACTGAAAGACTGTTGTCCCATTCACAACCCACTGGGCTCCAAGTAATAAATAGCAAACTGGCTGCAAAACCAATTAAAACATAACAATAAACTCATTTGCCTTTCAGTCAGTCATCCTCATGGGAATGTGTCTGACTCTGAGGGTGAACTCTACAGATTTAGCGCCTGATTGATGGAACAGAGAGGGATCGTGTCATGATCAATTTCCCAATTATATAGAAAGCATCCAGCTGTAGAACAGAGGCATTTTTTCTTTCATACATAGTGGTACAATAATAATAATAATATGTACTGCCATGTCATAACATGCAAACAGTACTGCAAGAGTTTATAATCTGAAAGTAACCACAGAGACATTTTGCCACCCAGACAGTTATTGTCTGGAAGAAATAAGATGCTTTTCATTTCCAGTGACATGTTAATGCCAGTAAGATGATACAGTGTGTCTGGCCGTCAGTCATCACTCAACTGATCGTTCAAGGCTGCTAGCCGAGTGTTTATGTGTTGGTGATGATGAGCACAGCATTCCTGTCATTAGGCTAATGGAGGCAGACCTGCAGGTGTGAACTGCCTCAGCAGGCTGTCCAACAGTCCAACATTAATTACACACACACATAGGTACTAGGCTTGGGGCCTATTGCATACTGCTGCTGCTGCTGCTTCCTGTGCTGTAAGCAGACACATTCATTAAGCACAAATGGATAGTCGATTAGGACTGATTGACTGGCCTGTTTGTGTGCATCACACTTGGCGCAAAGATGACGCCACTGTCTTGATGGAGGTATCCACGTTTTCAGTCATTCTAGCTGATGAAAAACTTTCCAACCTGGCATTAACACAACTTTGAAACGCAGTAGCCATGTATCCATCTATAAATATGCCTCAGGCTGCTGGAATCTGAAAAAATGTCCATGGTATTTGTGGAACTTTGATGAATCATTGTAGCTAAATGGGTGTGATGATGGTGATAGGTGACACAAGTAGTCTTCATCAGTTACTTGAGACTAGACTTGTAGACTCTGCTGCCCTCTCATGGTGATCAGATGTTTGGCATTTACAGTAGTAGTAATGTGGCAAAATACAGTAATCCTGTCTTATAAATACATTCATAAATTCCACTGTTGGTGTGTAATTATTACAGTTATCATTAACAATAGAATTATATCTTCAGATTAACAGACATGTTCAGCTCATCCCTTTTCCATATGCTTCGCCCACTTTGCAGGAAAACAAGATGTAAGTGTTCAGTGAGTCAGAGCTGACTGACGTGAGCTCTCAGTCGTCCTTTGTTTTCCTCACTGATCCATGTTCTTTTCCATCTCAGGCCAAACAGGAGGAGCTGGAGGAGCTGAACAAGGAGCTGAGGCAGTGTAACCTGCAGCAGTTTATTCAACAGACAGGTGTCCTGCCCACGCACACCCACTCACGCACAGAGCTTCAGGAGCAACTGGAGCAATTAGAACTGGCACATATTCTGCAGGATGGATATAGTAATGGAAGTATGAAACAAAAATAAATATTAGAACTAAAATTCAACATGGTATGCTTTGCAGTTAGAGTCAAGACTTGCCCACTAAACATATTTCTTTATCTCCGTCAGGCCACAGTGTTACTCCAGTGGAGTCACCACCCCGTCCCACTGCCAAACAGTTCCTGGGACATCCACGCAACCTGCAAAACCCTCTAGTGTCCAGTCTCAACCCTGAGGGTGTGTATGTGTGAGACCCCGCTGCTTCTCAAGTCCATCCTACTCTGCTCCCCTCCTGCCCTTCCCGTCCCCTGGTCCCAGAGCCTCTTGCCCCCAAACTTTCTACCCCAGCTTGATTGGGTGTAAGGCTACAGCTGCCATTTTTGGTGTCGGGGTAGTAGTCGCATCTGTATGGTGGAGGCCCCTGCTAATTCTCAGCAGCTTTTCTGCTCTACTTTTAAAAGCTGAAAGACTCCTCTTTTGCCCATCTCTTCCTCTTCTGTTGATTCCTCTCCCTGACTTTTTACAGTTGATTTAATCTTCCACATTCGCACTTCCATTTGCTTGTTTCCTTTATGCTTTTAATTCTCTGGATCTGTCCTATCCTTTTCATGTTGTGTCTGCTCCCCGCCCACCCCGTCTCTCACTGTTTGCATCTGGACTAACAGTAGCTGCTTTCATTAAACTTTAATGCATCTGGGAACTTGCTCCTAATCCCCACCTCTGTAACACAGGGCGGTCTTCCCACCCTCAAGTGACAAACGTCTAATGACAGCTGCTTTTCACCGTATCTCCATGTAACGCATCAATCGCACAGGGAATGACTGTAGCAGACATTCTGATTGTAGTGCTGTTTTTATACTGTGACATGGAAAGATGTGCCACCAATGTCATTTCAGTTTGCCTTTTTATGTATGGATACTATTTATATATGAGGGGGATGTATCTATACAATGCCTTGTACTTTGGTGATGCTTGACTTCCAAAGAGCAAGAGCCTTTTCACGGAGGTCTCTGCAAAATGTATTGCACTGTCCCATTCTATTTCTGTGTGAAGCCTTGGCCCTTGCTTGCCTACAGAGAAATGTATCTTTCTGTTCTCTTTCTGCTCTGCTTGAAGACAGTGCAACTTATTTTAGGAAGTTTATAGCTTTTACAAGTCTATTTTAGTCAAACTCCACGCTTAAAGAAGGAATACATTTCAAACGTAGCGCCACAGGGCCATGGTTTGTTAAGATATCTTTCTTTTCCTGGGACGGACGCGCCTGGTTCTTTTGCTGTCATCACACCTGACATTTGACCTGTCATAACTTTCAATGTGCCTCAGTGTACTGTAGATTTAGGATGAGCTTACTTACACAACAAAACCAAGCAAACAAAGGAAGCAGTTGTTTCCAGTGCTTTTGCTATCGTCATTACTGTTATCCACAAATCCAATCCATCTAAAACACCTAAACCAATATTTACTTTATAATTGCAGTTAGTATTTTATTATATGTCTCTCTATTATGCTGACAGGTCAAAGTGACGTGTGTTTGAGCATGCACTCTTACCTTACTGTCTACAGTGTGGTGTTTCCTGTGTGGACTTATACAACCGCTCCTTGCTTTGGAAACTACAGACATTGCAGTGATTGTTGTAGAAACATGCTTAAAACCAATTCTGTCCCAAAATGCTACTCTTGACTACAAGACTTAAGTCTACGGGTAATGGAATTAACACATGGACTGCTCTTGAGTCGGCTTGTGCTTCTCATAGGCATGTGTAATTACCTTGACTGACCCAGGCCTCTCCTGCTGTGTCTTACCTGAACAAAATGTTTTCCAGACAAAGGGATCGTCATCCCCACTTATTTTTGTGTGTCTTGCAGTCCTGACATCCCGAGAGTCATCGTGGAGATAAAACATGGACCGCAGGGCCAAGGGCGACTTGTTCACTGTTCTGTCACCCATCACCGCTTATTTAACCCCTTTCTTTGTAACTCTTGTCATTATTTAATCTACCATGATATACATACTGTATATACATAAGACAAATATATTTAGAGTTTTGCTACTGTAAACACTGCAAAGTATGTGTATGAAATGTAAAATAATTTAGAAACCTTTTCCCTAGAGCAATTATTACTATGACTGTGTATTTAAATATGATTAAAAATGTGCATTGTGTTTTAGATAATACTTTGTTGAGTGATTGTTTTTTCTTAATACCTTGTTTATGGAATCACATTTTATTATAATCATCCTTGTAACTACAGTAACTAGGAGCAGAGTTGCGGTGCATCTGGAATACCCTGCAGTAAATAATTAACACACCAGTGTACACAGTGACAGTGCCATGAAGCTCTTATGTGAAAAGCATTATGAATATATTATAGGTACTGAATTATACATGCTCTCCTCTTTGCTTGTGGTACAACGGCTGCTATGATGTAATGATATCCATAGGCGGTTGATTGAACGTAGAGTGCATCCTTGGGAGCAGAGGGAAATGTGGCAAACATCCTGGCTCCACAGCAGCTGCTGTTATGGGTGCTGTAAAACAGTATATCTACAAGACATGTGACCATAAATGCACAAGAGCACTACAGACCCGTTAACATTTGAGAAAGCTGACTATCAGTCTATTTAGTTGTAAACGTACCTTGTTGATAGTTTTCAAGTCCGCCGTGTGTTCATGGTATTAGTACAATGACTTGTGTCTTTTTTCTTGGCACCAGAGGACACGCGAGTCCAGAATATTGTGGACTCTATCCCTCTGAGTCGATGCATGTTCTCCCGATTTCTTAAATTATTGACAACAAAACTACTCATTGTTTTGTTATATATTGTCCTTTGCGATAAAAATCACCCTGGCATGATAGAATAAACACACAGCTGCACAACTATAGGCTTCTGCGCAACACTTTGCTCCTCCACCCCTTTCCTGTTTGTTTACCCCGGAGAGTAAATATGCTGGCTGTCACACACTGAGTGACTTGATCTTCCCTAGTACTCTGGCTAACCCCTAAATGAAACCCTGTAGGTATCTATAAATACACTCATCTGCTGACACTCGCCAGGTAAAATCCCAAGCATGCACGTATTTTATTTCCGTTTCCTTATACATACATGAATGGATATCAGAATCTTTAATCAAAAATACACTTTAGTTTAGCAATTTCCTCTTCATGCCATGTGTTTAAAGGTAAGGAGGTAGGTATTATGATTCATTATGCAGGATTGGATTTTACTGATAAGATGTAGAGCTGTCTGGCTTGGCAGGGGGTTAGATAAGCTTCAAATCCTTGTTTGGTTCCCACTGTCTGGACAAGCCCACAGCATGGTGCAGCACTGACGCCTACCCCTGGATGTGAAGGATACTGCACATAACGTAAAATTATGCACATGAACATGAATTAAAAATGCAGTCTCTCTTTGTATTTCCTGCTTACTACAATCACATTGAAAATAATGTATTATTTAATGCCAGGTCAATGCCATATAGGGAAAAAAAAGATATTTCTGAAAACCAATTGCATTAGATCTGAGTTTTTATTTTTCTGGGGACTTCAGGCCAGTTTTGTACATGTATTTTGTTTTCATTACTATTCACATGCAAAGTGAAATATATCAACCCTCGCGCACTTCATATCTAAACCCAGAGGACTCCAATCTCATAAACGGGACATTAACAGATTATGATGATGTTTCAGGGAATTATTTCTGCTCGTACTCCATGTGAACCCTATCCAAATCCACATTGGAAGGTTTTGGGTGAAGGTAAAAGAAAGGTTGAAAAGCTGAAAGTTTGACTGAATTGATACATATTTACAACAGACACCAGGCGTCTGGGAAAGCACCTCCTTGATATGGACGAGAGTGACCATCTGCACATCCACATTATGATGATGACAAAGAATGGGGCCACAAGTTGATGAGTCTGACATACTGCACTTATCTATTCCTCTGTGTCACAATGAGTCAGTGTGCACCGATGGGAATAAAACATGAAATGCATTACACGGCGGAGCAGAAAGTAAAATACACAATGCCACAAATGATTTGAATAGAGACTTTACTTCTCACTTGAGGGTTACTTTTTACAACCATATAATGTATGGATACAATTGATTAGGTTTTCATTACCTAATTTAAAGGGGTGGGCACATTACTATATTGTAATCCATTTTGTTCTAAAACCAAGTTCAGTGTCTCATTTTTGCTGGAACATCGCCCCCCCCACAAAAAAAAAAACATCTTGGAGGACCCCTGGAGGGCCCCTGACCTCAAATTGGGAACCAGTGAGATTGATGATGATGATGTTGTCTGCACCACACAGATGAAACAGAAACTGAAACAAAAAACTCACCAACAGTCTTGACAGTAGGTGGCATAAAAGAGGACGGCTCCATAGGGGGCAATGCAAGAGCAAGTGGCCCTAAATAAGAGAAAATATGTGAACATAGGAGGAAGTAGGCTACAGTTCACATGGAGACCGCTGGGAGAGCGGTCATGTTGAACAGGCAATGTGCACGGGACACGATCAAGGAGTGCTTGTAGATGGGTGTCTTTCCAGTCCGGCCGTGGCTGGTCTTGGACGAGCCAAAAGATGAGAAGTACTCCCAAAACCAGGTTAGCCGCTGTCACACGCACAGTGGAACTGGCAACTGACACAATGTGCGTTAGTCAGTGGCTTACCTGCTTTTAGATTTCACACATTACACTGACAACCATAAGCACACGCAATCTGTAGAGAAGCAAAGACAAAGGCTTTGTAATGAAACAGTGATAAGACATAGACATAAATATTTAGATCTTCATCTGTTTCTATGTAGGCCTACATCACTTATACTTATTTAAATGATTCCACACAAAACAAAATTATATAACAATTTCAATAAATCGACAAATATCTTAAATCCTCGATTGCCCCAAAACTGTAACATACTGTACTACGGGATTAGAAATTACAGCTGCCTTTCAGTCCACGATATATGTCTTTGGCTCCCGAAATATATTAAAAATTATTTCAATTTCAGTTGCCATCAAAAAAGTTCCAAAAGAATTAATAATTACATCTGACAACTGAGAAAGAAAAATAAGAAATGTATAGGAAAAAGACATCCGACGTGGCCTATTCATCCACACCATATAGCCGGAATAAAGAATAGTGGCAGATAAAGGTAGCTACTTACCAGCCCCAAGTTTTCTTTTGGGTTAATTTTAAAAGAAATAATCTTTCGTTTTCGCCGATAGAAACCCGTCTGCCATCTCTCCAAATATCCAAATTGTTTTTTCTCTACATGAAATCACAGTACATGGTTAAAGTTAGGTGCATTTTTAGACTACTGTAAAGCCTACAACGACGTAGAAGTTCAGTTCACTTGCTCTACCCCTACCCTGCCCACTCCCCTGCATCTGCAACCCGACCTGGTTATGCAAATTGAAAAGAAGCTGGCATCGCGCTCAGCCAATGGGCTGCCGACTTGGAGTTGAATGGCCCACCCATCATAGATACTCGACAAATTAAGATTTTTGAGAGGTGGGCTTTATGAGGCCAGTAAGTTCGCTTGACGTTGAAGTTGTAGTTGGGGTGCGGCGCGTTCAGTTCTGCACGTCTTACATTAGGAATGAACCATTATGGTGTTAACAGTTTCATGTCCTGGCCGGTTATTTATTGCAAACATCAATGCGACACAGGTTTATTTCCCCTTATATAGACGTCATGTGATGCGGCAGCTGCTACCGAGAGGAAGTAAGTGCACTTTAAACCGTTTTGACAAAGAACGCCCCCACCCCCGCAGTGTGAAGTGGTTGAACTCGGCTTACTTGTGTACAGTGTTGCCATGAGCAGAGTGTGGATGTGCACGTACCAAGGATGCAGCATGACAGTCTGATCTGATGATGACGAGGAGGAGGAGGTGGAGGACGATGATGATAAACTCTCAATTATTTACGGAGTGAGCGTTTAGGACTCCCTCCCATCATTACCAAATTGTATAACATCATATCAAATTTGAAACGGCAGTTTAAATTGGAATCTGTTAACCCTTTAAATTTCAACATCACATGTAAAAAAAAGTTAGGCGTATTTGTTAAATGCAGAATAATGCATTGTGCTTCATTACTCAATAAAGAACTGTATTCCTGTAATAGGGGCATATAGGGATACTGCAATGTTAATATCAACATTACATATTTTTTCGTCAAGGTTAAGTATAAGAAAACACCCCGTTTTTATAAACTAAAATCACAGCATTTAATTGACCTCCTTTTGAACTGGCCAGCTGGAACATGGTGTCCTGTCTTTCTTTCTAGGATCATCAAACATCTTTGTTTGGTTTAGACAGGCCTATATGCTCGAGTTTTCTTCTGAGCAGTTTTTGACTAACAAATCCCCGTCGGATTATTCACAGCCAGGATACACATAACCCCATGACATAAAGTAGCAAATCAGGATTACATTGGATTATGTAACAGCAGAGTTTGTCAAATTACAGTTACCACTGGAGGGCGACAGTGGCATTTGATTGCTGTATGGACGGCTTGTAGTTGTCCCTCGTTTTGGATGACTGTTATAATATTTCTATACCATTTATCAGACTTTTTAAAATGTATAAAGTAGGAGTTTGCTTCTGGGCATAAAATATAACCACGTCATAATTTCTTAATAAAACCTCTCAAAAATGATTTTGTCAAACAGTTTAGTCTGCACTCCTGTAGAGTGGCCACAGTGTGATGTGCTGTGTGCACTTCGAACTTTATTACTAAACTCAATTACTGTAGCCTGTACTGTACCCCTACTAAATGTGAGGCCACAGCCTATATTTCAGTTGTGTGAAGGTGGTTCCCATCATTTAAATCCTTGGCGTTTTGTTGTGAGTGTGTTTGTGTGTAGTGTCTTAATTATATATATAATATAACATAATATAATTGAGGTGTGGGGTGAAAATCATCAGAATCAGAATCAGCTTTTATTTGCCAGGTATGTACACACATAGGAGGAATTTGACTCTAGATTGTACAATGCCCACGATGTGCTTACCTATACCATAATACAATAACACATTAATACAGTAATAAGATCAAAGACAGGCTACAGTATAGAGAACACATACACACTATAAACAAAACACTCAGACTGAGACAATAGTGAAATAGTGCAATGAGCAGAGTGCAAAGGATGCAGTGAGTAAATTAGTATTACCATGGTTACCATTACAGCTGGATTGTAGTGGTAGTGATAGCAAGTTAAGATATTTGTGATCCTACGTCGTGGTGATTACACAAGTGTGACTTGCGATGCGATTGGATACGCTATAATAAACATAAATACACACTAACAGGCATACTGTGGCACGTGCGTGCCTACTGTAAGCATAATTTAAGTCTACGACAAATAGGATAATGTCCCTTTAAGAGTCACGGAGCGCACTCGGCCTTTTCCGTCTGTAGCCAGCCGGTGGTGTCACTCAACAGCCATAGAGACTTCAAATCACTCTAACATACCTCACGCTACTTAATAGGGTAGGTTTGAAATTACTATTAAATGCGCCAATAGGACATTGTTGTTATGAGGGTTGAAAGGGGAATGTGTGTAAACACCCCCTCCCCACACACACACACGTTTTCACTGCAGAGTCGGAAGGAGCTTGTAGTCGCTAAATTTAGCTATTCTGAGGCTAGCTAACACGCTACACAGAAGCTAAGGTTACTAGCTAGCGTTATTTGATCAGTAAGAACAGCCTTACAGGCTAGTCTTATATTCTTGTCAGTGCGTGTATCTATAATTTGTGTATCTACATATACGCTGCATGTGTATTTTATACGAGACACAGAGGGAGCAAACTGTCTGATGCAGAGTTTTCTTCTTTGTTTACAAATGTAGCCTTAGCATAGTCTGCAGGCTGCTGCTGGCTAGCTAGCTAATGTTAGGTAACCTGTTTGGCAGCAAACAATAACATTACGTTTTAAAAGCCGGTCCAATATAAAATTGCTGTTTCATAGTGTGTACCCTACCCACGAGCTGTCAAATATCACTCGTGGTTTGTAAGAAATCTTACTTAACTTAATTTGTCGGTTTTCTCTTAGTTCCCACTAACATGACATCCCATAGACCAAGAACACACGCTTAATGATCATTTCCCCTTTCTGCTCAAGGACTCGGGCAAAGGAAATCACCTTGTCATTCCATAAAGGTGGTTGAAAGTCTTGACTTCGTCACCTGTCCTTTAAACAGTGAGTAGATTGTCTTGCATGTCACTTACTTAATGACCAAATTGTGTCATCAAAATTTGTACACAAGGAGAATCCAGAGGTTATCTGTTATTTAAACACTATCTGTGATTTTGGTCTGTCTTGTAAGGATTGTTTTAGTGAAAAGCTGTCAGAGAAGTTGTTCTTCTCATGGTCAGCCATGGATGAAGATGACAGCCAAGATGAGCTGATCAACCGCAGTGCGTCCCACAGCAAAGGAAAAAGGTCTGCGTTGTGGGCCATCTCAGGTAGCTTTTTTAACATGTTTGTTATGCATAAGATCATGAGAGGATGAATGAACGAGTAAATGTTTTTATGAAATTGCATTCACTCCCAAGAGTACAGTATCAAACATACCCAAAAGATTTGACAACCTCATGCACTGTCTATTTAATTATTATTTTTTTACCTCCTAGATGACTCTGACGATGTTGAGGGGGGTACTGAGGAGGGAGAATCTGACAGTGGTGAGGAAGAAGAGGAGGATTACCTAGATGGAGAGGAGGATGAGGAGGAGGAGGAAGAGGAGGATGGTAGGAGTGATTGAATGTGCGGTTTATATTGTCAATGATGGTGATGGTTTTCACATAATTTTATATTTTATATAATGCAATTATTCCTAGCTCACCTTATTTCTCTAATTAACCTTCATGTAATTGCAAAGTACCCTGTAGTATAAACCTGACTCAACTGAGACAATTGAGTTGTGGCAGTTAAGGCGTGTAGTATAAGTATCATTATTTTCTCACTAATCTACTGTATTTTGCTCCAATATCCTCTATAAATATAGTTTGCATGGTACATACACAATATATTTGTACTTTACACTAGATGAGGAAGAGGAGGCAGCTAAGGCTGAGGATAGAGCTTTTGGGGGAACCTCTGCTGACCTTGCAGGGATGAGCTCAGATGAAGACGCCGATAAGTGTCCCATCTGCCTTAACTCATTCAACAGCCAGCCTGTTGCAACACCAGAGAGTTGTGAGCACTACTTCTGCCTCGACTGCATCCTTGAATGGGCCAAGGTGGGTCTGACTTAATGTTGCATTAGTCCAAGTATGTGCTCTGTATTTCAAAAGCATCCATGGTTAAGGAAGCGGAATGGCTCATTTTCAGTGTTTTTGCTCTCCACTGTTTAGAATGCAAACTCGTGTCCTGTAGACCGTATTTCCTTCAACAACATATACCTAAGGAAGTGTTATGGAGGCAAAGTGAAGAAAATGGTGAGTGTGTTCAGTCTTTGGTAGCAGAACATTATTAACTCATAGTACTCCATATACCTTTTGTTTTATGTTGTGTGGACTAATTGCTTATGTGTTTTTCATTCAGATCATAGTACAAAAGCCTGTGAAGGAAGGTGTAGAGGAAACAGTGGATGTGGACCTGGAGCAGACAAACTGTGAGGTGTGTGGGGGCAGTGACCGTGAGGACCGCCTCTTGCTCTGTGATGGCTGTGATGCTGGGTGAGAAAGATATTTTTGTACTAAGTAACCCTTTCTTTTTTTATAGCCTTGAACCTGTTGTCAGATTTCTTATCAGTGAAATTTGTTAAGTCATTTTGTTCCATAGGTATCACATGGAGTGTCTCACGCCACCTCTTGACTCTGTTCCTGTAGAGGAATGGTTCTGCCCTGAGTGTGAAGCCAACAACCGTCACTCAAGTAAGCCTCTAAATTGTTTGCCTTCTTAAATTCATACTTGCTCAAACAATATTGTGGACGTGGTTTATAGACACATACACAGACAGATTAAAAAAAACTTGTAATATATGGTATCTCACAAATTTCAGTGAATTGAAAATGCTGCTGTAGTACATTTTATGTTTTTGTTTTGAATTAATTTTCTTTGTGGAGTTGCTCTTTATGTAGGTAATTCACTTTCAACAAAAATATATTGTACAAACCTATTAATTCGTTATATTATAAGTGGCCATGCTTATGAACTCAAAGAGTTGTTTGCACTCTTTAGCATCTTTTCACAAGTCAGATCTTTAAATCTTCTTAACTTAGGGGGTTCAGCTGAGGAACTTAGTGAGACAGAGAGCCTACCTTCTACCGCCCGTCCTGCCACCAGTCGCTCTCAGTCCCGTGCTGCAGGTCCCACCAGAGCTATTGCCCGAACTCAGCAGAGTGAGAGGGTTCGAGCTAATGTCAACCGACATCGCATCACACAGGCACGGACCTCACAGGTTTGGCATGAGGCGTGACGCTTCAGTCTTGGCTTATTTTCTAACTGTCTTTCCACAGCCTATGAGCAAAGCTGAATCTTGCAGAAATGTCTTGATGTTCCACAAAGTGTGTTGATTAGATTTAGTGATGACATGTATGACTAATTAAGTTATGTACTTAGGTTATGCACTGTATGGCTGCTGACAGCAGAAATTATTGCATGTGTTTTTGACATTTGTAATGTGAATCTTGACTGAAATGCTCATGTTAAGGAGCAGTGCATGTGTTTGGGAGTTGTGCTCAGACAACAATGGTTTGTGAAACCGTACCAGTGGAGTGATGGATACTTTTTCTTACTAGTTGGCTCCGACGTATATGATGCAGTCCACATGGCTGGATGAGACTATTAATGCTGTGGTGGCTGGGCTCAACACGGCTGTGTATATACGTGACTTTGCACCTCATGTCCCATCCAGTCGCAGGCGCAAGACTAGTAAGTAAGCACACACATACAAATGTGTAATCATTTTCAGACAGGGTTAGCATGATCACAAGCACACACATGAATAAATGTGGTGTAAGGAAAAGCCAGAGAAAGCTACGATGTGTTTGTAATGAGGGAAAACTTTTATGATTGATTGAACAGGGAAGCGCAGAAAGGTCAAGAGCAGGAATACATCTTCTGCTAAGGGTATAAAAGGTCAAGTGGGAAGTACAGGAGTCAAGAGGAGGAAACGGAAAGTGAGGAAGACTAAATCCAGAAAAAAGCTGGTGAGTGTGTCATCAACACCAGTCTAAGATTTAAGTGATCTGGTTTTAAATGTTTTGCTAGATGTATCTAATACTACAAGAATTAACAGATTTCTCTTGTAGTCACAAGATGCTTTTCTCTCTATATAAACTCTTTACCTACGTTTTCCCATTAGATGTTGAAAAAGGCAGCCACTCCTCGAAGCCGTATCGCTAATAATCTCAGAATTGTAAAGGACAAGAAGAGCTCTTCGCTTCCAACAGTGTACCGACCATCAGAGCACACGTTAAGCAGCATGCGTGCTGACATAGGCGCTGCATCTCTCTCTATCTACGGAGATCCATTTGACCTGGATCCATTTGTGGAACGGTAAGATAGAATATATATATATTTATACACATACTTGTGGATGTTTCTGATATCATATAAAATGTAGGGAATGCTTTAGGTGGTTACAACTGCCACACACATACTGGTCAAGTGATCCTGATTCCTTGGTGCGGAAACTCCCTATCACATACTTTGAACCAAGCTTGTTTATTAAAATCTGCTAGTGTATTTCAGTTTCACTGTGTTTGTGTGTTGTGTTTGTATGTAGCTTAGCAGTATTTATTATTGAACATATTGTGCTTTATGGTATTGATTTGGCTAGTGAGGAAGAGGAGCAGCAAGCCCATGTTACATCGCTGTTGGAGGCCAAGAGACGAGGGATCTCTCGCTCTGCCCTTCGCTCTCACCAGCCTGTAGCTCGACCAGTCACTGCAAGCCTTTCCAGGTAACATCTACCTTTTGCCATAATGTGTAGAATTGTAAAAGAATGATTATGTTCATGTCATGATTGAGATATATATATATGAGATAGATAGATATAGAGAGAGAGTTTGTCATAAATTTGAGGTGCCTAAGCGGTCTCAGTTTTTGTGATGATGTTATCTAGCTTGATGAATACTTAACAAATATGGTTGATCTAATTAAAGGTTTTCTTTGCCATACTAGGAGGGGTATGAATGTCCCCCAGTCAGGGGTTGTTGTGGAGGCGGCTCCTGTGCCTGACCTGCTAGGCAGCATCCTATCAGGACAGAGCATGCTCTTGATGGACAGCTCTGATGTCGTTATTAATCGGGATGGTTCCCTTAAAGCTGCAAAGACAAGTAAGTGTACCTGGCACATTTTGAAACACAAAGTTTAAATGGCGAGATTTAATTAGATATGTTGTAGCTGTTTGGTTAGAGATTTTAGCCACTTTAGCCACAGAGGCGGACAGAGGACCAAAGATCTGACTTCCACTTACCTGTCATGAAAATAATGGGTTCTTTTGAAATAGTTACGTACATTAAATCCAGCTGTTGAATTTTTGACAACTTCAGCCTGACTGCTTTATGTAAAATGCACGTGAAGTTGGTGAAAATAAAACTTTAAACTGTCTTGAATCTTGTGACATAAGAAACAGCAGTGCTGCTTGTGTTCTCCGGCATTAGCAGTGAGTTAGTTATTCCTCACTCTCGGAAGCAGAACTGACTGAGCCTAAAACTTTTTCTGGTGTCAACCACTCAACACTCATTTTACATTGTGTAAGTCAGTTTAATCTGCTGAACTAAGCAAAAGAAGCAAAGTACTTGATTATTTCACTCTTTAAATGTGTTGATCATTTGTATATTTTTTTCTCTTTCAGCGATGCCATCTGCATTAAAGCCAGATTGCAGTAGCTCAGGAGATACCCAAATCAACCCAGTGATGTCACCCATCCAAGGTGACAGTTCGCCATCTCTTCACTACACCGGAGACCTACCAGGATCCTCCCATAGCTCCCTGAACAGACCTTTCTCTCAGAGCTCTTCTCACTTACTGCCCTACATGCCCTCCTCAGCCAACCTCATCCAATCATCACCCCATACTGAATTTCCACCTCAAGGTCACCTGAGTTTTCAACCACCTCGTCAAGTCAGACCCACCCACCCTTCTTGTCAGCGGGTAACCAATGGTGTAAGAGCTACCAGCCCCTTCTCATCCATCCACCCCACCCTAAATTCAAGCTCCAAGAGCAAGGGCACGACCCCATCACAATCTAAAAAAGCAGCTACAAAGCCCATGTGGGTAGACGTGTCAGTGCTTCCTCGGATACCAAAAATAAAAAGGGAGAACTCTAGTCAAGGTGGCAGCAGTGACAGTAATAGAAGTAGCAGTAGGGAAAATAGTAGTAATTCTACCACCAGTAGTAATGGTTACGACATGCCAGAAGCAGGCATGAACAGCCTTGCTGGAGACAAAGGAAGACAACAAAGTGTAGACCAGCAAAAGGGCAGGGCTGACGGTCAGGCCCAGAGGCACCGGCCTGATGGAGCAGGCTCATCATCGGCCTTCTCCAACTCATTCTCCTCTTCTGGCTCTCCTGCTAGTCAGCCACGTTATTCCTCAACTTCATCAGCAGTGAGCTTCCGTATTAACTCCAGTGGGAATTCCTGGCATTCAAGGCGGCTCAGCACTGCCTCACCCTCTACTAGTGGAGACAGCATGCAGGAACCCTGGAGAGGAAAGAAAGATGAAGCAAGGAAGAGACAGCTGCACAGGGATAAACAGATGCTCCTGGCATCCCATACGCCGGTTAAAAAGGAAAAAGACAGTCATAATATCTATGATCCCTTTAATCCCACGCTATCAGAGACAAGCAGCTCAGACGAAGATACTGAGAGCGCACGCCTGGATGGTAGCTCCCGACACATCGCGCACGAGAGGAAGGATTGTAGTTCAGGAAACAAGGAGGTTTTAATGCAACACGAGCAGGATCTGGTTCATGTGAAAACTGAAACACAGGAGATTGAGGTGTCACAGGAAGAACCAGTGGGGGCTAGAGCTCAGGAAACCAGATCACAGGCGGGCAGATGCTCAAAGGAATATGTGAAGGTTGAAAAAGAATCAAGATTAGTAGACACTGAGACTGAGAAACAAACAGCATTAACTAAAGTAAAGAAAGAGCCAGGGTTAGATGATGCAGCTGAAAGGTTTTTGAATTCAAGCTGTACAGAGACAGCAGACACCACATCACCTGTTCATCACAGCATTAAGATTGAGAGAGAGACTCTAGAAGAGGAGAGTGGACAGCGTGTTGGAACTCCCAGTAGACCTCCCCCCAACTGTAAGGATAATAATTCGTCAGCATCCAGCTCTGCTCCCACCAAGAGCAAGCAAAAGGCAGAAACTACATTGGATTCCAAATCCTGTTCCAAGTCCCCATCACGAGATTTGGGCAATAAGAAGAAAACTTTCCAAGCTTCAAAGGAGCAACGCTCTAGCAATTCAGAGGCAGAGACAGACAGAGGCAGGAGAGGAGACCATCATGCATCAGGCCAGGGAAGCCGGCAGAATGAAAAGGAGAAGGACAGAGAAAGGAGTTCAAGGCGGTCAAGGTCCAGAGAGAGGAGGAGGGAACGCACATCCTCAGAAAGCTCTCAGTCCAATTCCCCTGATAGGGCTCACAGAAAGAGACAGCGACCCCGGTCACGATCCAAAGACAGGAAGCAATCTAGGTAAATCTATTATACTTTGTCCAATATTCCTGGTATCAACTATTAAGTAACTGTCTGTTCGATGATAAGATCAGGGTTTTGATTAAGGGTTTTGTCTGTTATTACTGATTTTTAGGTCTGGCTCCAACTCTAGCAGCAGAGAGCGTTCAAGAAGGAAGAAGCATAAACAGAGGAGCAAGGAGAAAAATGACGGCAGAGAGAGAGACTGTGAGAGACAACGAATGTCAAAGGATAAGAGACATGGTCGGTCTCGCTCAAAATCTTGGTCAAAATCACGTTCTAGGTCCAGATCTAGATCGAAGGACCATAAACGTGGTCCGTCTTGCTCAAAATCGCGGTCCAGATCAAGGGAAAGGAGGAAAGACAATGCACGAGCACAACAGTCGTCTCTCTCCTCCAGAGACAAGGTGGAGTCACGGTCTACAGACAAGAGGAGACGCAGGTCTAGATCCAGCTCAAGAGAGAGAAGGAAAGAAGAAAGATCATCATCCAAGAGTTCACATAAAACTTCAGGTTCCTCTGTTTCATCCTCTAAAGACACAAGACAGTCACAGGTCAAGAAAAAGGACATGGGTGTAACTCGAAGCTCCCTCAAAGAGGATAAAGTTACAACAGTGAATAAACAGGAGACCCCCTCCTGCACTGCTGCCTCAAAAGTTAAAAAGGAAGGGAAAGACCTCAAGGCGGACAGCCAGGCCTCAACAGCTGAAATTGTCAGAGAGACAAAGGTTGGAAAAGAAATTAAAAAAGAAAAACAACCATCTCTTGATAGGTTTGAAGATTATCCTATTACTAAACCAATTAAGAAAGAAGAGACTGACATCCATGCTTTGATGGTAGTCAAAGGCATAGATGAGGTAATAAACAAAGAAGAACCCATCCAGACCAAGATTTGTGAAATCAAGACCGAGATTTGTGAAATCAAGACCGAGATTTGTGAAATCAAGACAGAGACTTGTGAAATCAAGACCGAGACTTGTGAAGTCACTCCAATTAAATCTGAGCCAAGTTCCCCAGAATTATGCCACTTACCCCCTGTCTCCTCCTTTTCTACACTGACCTCACCTGTTACAGCAGACAGCATCCAGGATACAGTCTCTCAGTCTCAGCCAGTGGTACTGGCCCCCACCAATCAACCAAACACTGTTGAGTGGACGGACCCTGTAAAGCAGGAAGTTCAGCAACCCTCAGACTCTGATGATGACTTCAATGTTGACGTGATGCTAGACAACCTGGACTATGTGAAGTCCAAGCCCACAGAGGGAAGTGGCGCATCTGTCAAACAAGAAAAGGAAGTAGAGGAGCGGAAGACTGTAGGGGAGCAATTGCAGACTGTAGTGGGAGCGAAATCCAAAACTCAAGTGAAGAGGGTCACGTGGAATATACAGGAGCCTGAGGGGCCTCAACCAGAGAAATCGGCAAGCAGTAAGTGCTGCTGCTAGAAAGTTCCACACCAGTTTTTGTTGGCTGCTCACAAATCTGACATAAATCCTGCAACAGATCAGGCTCATTTAACGTATAGAAGTGAAAATGAAAAGAATTAAAAAGATGTAAAAAGTGAGTCTGGATCAAGATTCATACACAATCACCTATTGCCAGTGGTGAAACTAAATTTAGTATTGTACTTAAGTACAAATTTAAGGTACTTGTACCGAGTATTTTCTTTTCATGCCACTTTCTACTTCTACTCCTCTACATCTCAGAGGGAAATATTGTACTTTTTACTCCACTACATTCATCTGACAGCTTTAGTTACTAGTCACTTTCCACATTAAGATTTACATTACATGTAAAAATGTGAATTTTTGCTTCACTTATTGAATTCATTATTTTAATAATTTTTTGTTAATTAATTGTTTTATAATGTTGGTTTTAAAAATACAAGCATTGTAGTTTTAGTGTGATTCAAAGTAGTTCAAAATGTGCTCCATCTTAACCAACTACAATAGTAAAATCTTGTTCTTACATTAATGCACGAGTATTACTAATCTAATGATAAAATATACATAAACAGTCATAGGGGACCTTTTTCCGCTTTAAGTAAATTTTCCTGATTTTATTTTCATAATTTTACGTAAGCAATAAAAAGGAGGATTTGTAACAGCATATTTTTACAGTGTGTTATTAGTACTTTTACTTAAGTAAAAGGTCTGAATACGTCCTACACTGCCTATTGCACACAAACAGTTGAATTACTTTATTTTGACAGAGATGGAGATCAAAATGTGTTTTGAATCGGCCTCTCATTTAAATATGTTCTGATTTCTCTCTTTTACAGAGCTGGCTCTGTATAAATTGAAGCTGAAGCAGGAAGGAGCTCGCAGACCCTCTTCGACAGTCTTGACCTCCAGTCAGGTAGGACAGAGTTACTTCTCACTGAGTTAATATTAAATTTCTAGCTTATTATTAATATTTTTAGAAGTGCATTAAGCATTTAATGAAATGACCACAGGGTGGCAGATTTTATCTAGAAGGAGCAAATGTTTGGGTGAAGTCTTGTGACCAAAACTGAAACTGATTTTGAGGTAAGTGAAAGTAAAAGCCATACTGTGGAAATCAAAACTGTTGTCTACATTTAACAGTTATACAGTTATTTCCAGACTAAGTCCTTGTCATTATGTCATCCATAGACATGTAATATGTATAAGAAACATAACAGCCTTACATTACTGAATCTATCTTTTATTCTATCCTCCTGTAACCTTTTAGTAATTTTCTTGTCATCCATTTAATCTCTCTTGACTTTCACAGGACATCACTGGAACCGTCAGTGACTCCTGCAAGAAGGTTGCTGTTGGTCCTCATAGTACTTCCTCTAGATCTGAAACTGTACATCCTGAGAGGTTGTCAACCACTGGACAAGGAGAAGCAGAGGAAGGGGATGTAAGGAAAGACCAGGTGAATCTGGCTTTTAAATGTTCGTTCTTTACACTGAATATCTCAAGTAGTCTAATGTCGTATTTGGTTTTGAATAGATTTTAGAACGCCGTCCCAAAAGAAGCAGAATGTTTATGAAAACTATAATGACATTTGGGATGTTTTACTCCTGACAGCAGTACTTGAAGAAGCTGCACATGCAGGAGAGAGCTATAGAGGAGGTGAAGCTAGCTATCAAGCCTTTCTACCAGCGGAGGGACATCAACAAGGATGAATACAAAGAGATTCTACGCAAAGCCGTTCAGAAGGTGGGTTAAACGTTTTGCCAAGATAGTCAAAGGTTTGTCACCAACAAACAACTTAAAGCCCTTCATAGCTTTTGATTTATAAAGTCAGCCATTTCTCAGTGTCTTAGATTATCAGTTCAGTTGAAGGAGGTTTTTTAGAGAATTTATATGCAATTATCTTATGTTCTTGGTCATCAGGTGTGCCACAGCAAGAGCGGGGAGATCAACCCTGTCAAGGTGGGCAATCTGGTGAAGGCGTACGTGGACAAATACAAACATGCTAGGAAACACAAGAAAGGGGAGGATTCAGGGAAGTCAGAGGAGGTTCAGACTGAGGCCATGAAAAACTCTGACAGTCCGTGAGGAGGTGTGAACTACAGACAAGGACAGCTGCACCCTCGCAACACTCATTCGTACGTTATACAATGTTTTACTTGGTGTCCTACCACTGGCTGTGATCTCAAACTCTCCGGCTTACCCATTCTAAGCGGTTAACTAAGATTTCCTCAGCCTCAAGACGGAACATTTTCTATAATCTTTCTATCTAAAAATAACCTTGAGGACAAACTTTTTTGGTCGATCACTTGAACAGCACCTGTTGGTGTCTTGTACTTGGACTGTCACTGCCAAGAACTGGTGTTTTTGTGTAGTACAGCTCAGATACTTAATAGGAGCCCTAGAGGTTGTGCCTTAAAGAGGCAAATCTCAAAGACCCTTCCACAGAGTGATAAATCAGGTAGCTTTCTCCACAGGCATATCACTGGGAGGATACAGCGTGCTTTGAGTTTTCTATGGCTTTTTGTTTTGTTTTGTGGGAGGGGTATTTCAGTGGCAAAACTCCTTTTGTTTGTTAAGAAGTGGTGTAAAAGTATGAAGAGTATGCATATTTAAGAAGTTTGTCGTATTAAGGAAAGACACTGTTATGCAATTTTTGTAGAACATTTATCAGCAGAGTAATTAAACAGTTTTAGATTCGGTTGTAAATAATATAGATTTGGTATCTCCACTTACATGTTTCTTTCATCTGTGTTGCCTGTTGCGAATAACTGACATCAACGATTCTAGTTTATAGAGTTGATTGGTTTATGTTTGTATTTGAAAGCCTCTGTTATCTGTCTCCCACACCTCTAACATCCATGTTTAATGAACTAAATCTAGTCAAGTGTACTACAGGTGAATTCTGGCTCAGTAGTTGAAAATGAGTAATGGAACCACTCTTCTCAAAGAACAGCATGTTCCCTTTAAGCATACTTGTTTTCTTATGTTCTCTGCATTATTCTTTTTTCAACCCTGAAATGTAGAAAAATCAGCTTTTAGAGAACTAGCGGGTATTTTGTTTTTTGTGCCAAACAAGTAAAAGTAATAATAAATAAAAAATAAAAATAAACTTTTTCTCTGAATAAGTGAGATTTTATTTGTTTTCGGGCATTCTGTGTTTAAACAACGGAGACCACAATATACAGTAGGTAATATAGATTTTATTTTGGAGTGAAAGAGATTATTATGCAGACTCTGGCTGAGCTGCAGCCCCCATTAACTTGAAAAAAATGTACATTTCGTCACTGTCCATATAAAGTTTGTTTTGTATTTAATGTTTATTAATAACTATTGAGCTAATTTTATCTGCATAATTTCATGGTTTTGTGAGATACATTTGTTGCCCATATATTAGAAAAATAATGGAATATCTCACAGTCACAGCATTTTCCAAGGAAGGTAGGATGGAAGGAAACACATGCCTTTAGTTTGGGACATTGAAAGTATACTCTCTGTATTAACCTTGAGATGTCTGCAGTATTAAAATACGGCCTCATTAAGGCTGCTTTGTCATTGTCACTCAAGCCTAAACCTTACTCTTGGTGATATCCATTACTAATCTGCATTGCTCCTTAATTTTTATGAAAAACTGATAAGCTTGTTCACCATTTTTTGTTTGCTTACTGTTAAGACTAACCAGGTGGGTGGTTGGACTTGCCTTGTACTTTGTTGTCACATTTAATTTGGCTTTATACAGCCTAGGACAAGGAGGGGAAGCATCTAAAAAGAAAAACAGGTGCTCATGTTTATCTGAATGTATTTTACTTTTTCTTCTGCATTGCCTTGATCAAACCGGCCAGGTGTTTCTAAGAGAAAACATGGATGACAATAAATCACTGATGATAAATAGGGTTTTGTCTCAATTTAATGCAAGTACTTACTCATATTCTGTCCTGTAGTCATATTTTGGTTGTAAGGATTTGGTGTTTGAAGTGGTAACATCTGAAAATGTACTTTTTTTTATGGCTATGTGCTGTGAGTCCGTCCTATTTTTATGAACGCGATATCTCAGGAATGCCTCAAAGGTCAACTTTCCTGTGACATCATTATGACCTTTTTTGGCCATTATTCACGTATCAGTGTGACACTTTTGGCTCAAAGGTCATTGTGACCTCAAAATAGGTTTTTAGCCATAATTTAAGAATGACTTTTTGATTACAGATTTGACACACGTTGACTGGGACACAAGGAGCAAACAATAACTAGGTAAGGAAAGGGCTTTCCTCCATCTTGTCCACGCTACTTCTCACTTCCTGCGTCATTAGAATCACATGACCACAAACAACGAATCGGAGTGAGTATCACCTGCAACTCAGAGAGAGGTTACACATCACATTCGAGGAGAACCCCCCCCCCGTGCCATTTTTGGATAAAAAGAATTACCAAAAAAAAAAAACACAAGCCTCATGCAACAGAGATAAAAAGGAAATATACTACACTGCCCACCTCTGTATCACTTTATGCTGTAGGCCTGTCTGGCCTTTCCTCCTGCAACTCATATTGCAGTCAGAAATTATATGTACACAACTAAAAATTAAGCAGTTAATTAGCCACTTACAAGTACTTCCTCCAAAGGACAGTCATCTGAGAGGGTTTCTTCACTGTCCTGTGCAAAAGAAACTAATGGGTATTACAAAATGTTGTACTCTTTCCTTTTGATGTAAAGTTAGAGAAAGTCCACTTACTGCACATGCTTCAGCCACCACTTGCTTGGGAACAGGTAAATATGTTGGTGTATTATGTAAAACTGCACAAAAGAGGAGAACACAATGGCATTACAATGAACTACACTAGGAAAAAATGTGATCAATAACATATTGCAAAATGTTTTTACATTAAGTTATGCAGTTTTCACCTTCAAGTCAAAGCAATTCATCACTACTCAATATTTATCAGTTGAAATGACTGTACCAGCCATTTGGATTATAGGCATACTTAATTTAATGCAGCAACAAATTATTTACAGTGTAGCAAGATAATTTAAAACTCATTTACCAGTAATGAAGGTGTTGCTACTGGTCCCTGGCTTTTGGTCTAAGGAAGAGCTGCCCCCAGGGATGCCCTCCACAATGGGTCGGTTCACATTTAAACCAAGGGCCAGCTCTTCTGCCAGGGTATGTGTGGGTGCCAAACACATAATTTAACATTTATTTTGGTAAAAGAGACTAAACAGTAGAAGTAGAAAAGATTACCATTTTGAAGAATATTCTTGTATTTCACTTTTACTTGTTCCCATGTTCTAGTGGGTCCTGAGGTGGCTCTGACATTGAGCAATTATGAAATTATAAAAATACAAGAATATGTACTGTAATAAGTGACAGAACCATAACATGGAGCACTTACGCATTTAATTTGTCTGCAACTTTTTGCCAGCCGGCTTTTGCACACTTTGAGGTGTTCCCTGGCGTTTTAATTAACTTTTCAAATTCTGTATATCCTTCTAGCAATAACTCTTGCTCTGCTGCGGAGAAAAACTGAGCGCGCTCTTTGGCCATGGTGAACAGCCAATAGCAGCGTTGCTGATCAATGTTTCTACTATTGATACAAATCCCCTTTTAAACCAGCGCATGAACCCGCAATTATCTCCGATAACTCAATCCAGCTGTACTAATCATAACCGGCAGGTGTGTTCGAAGAACCCAATTAGCCAGATCATGATTAGGCCGATGATATTATCTTGGATGTCTCATTTGATCTCGGATGTTTTAAGCAACGTACGAAGAACGGGCCCCAGGTGGTAGGTGTATGTGTGTCAAAGTCAACAATCAAGAGAAGACTTCACCAGAGTGAATACAGAGGGTTCACCACAAGATGTAAACCATTGGTGAGCCTCAAAAACAGGAAGCCCAAATTAGAGTTTGCCAAACAACATCTATAAAAGCCTTCACAGTTCTGGAACAACATCCTATGGACCGATGAGACCAAGATCAACTTGTACCAGAGTGATGGGAAGAGAAGAGTATGGAGAAGGAAAGGAATTGCTTATGATCCAAAGCATACCACCTCATCAGTGAAGCATGGTGGTGGTAGTGTCATGGTGTAGCCCAGGCTTAATAATGAGAAACACTATTTAGCTGTCTGACCAAGTCACTAATGGGCTTGTAAGTTAGCAAATGGGTGGACGTTATGATGCAGTGAGCTGACCAATCAGCTGCCAGCTATGTTCCGTTACAATTACGCCTCTCGTTTCGCGTCTCTGCACATTCTTTTGGCGCCTGTACCTGAGCGTAGGAGGCTGCGTTATCCCCTTGAGAGTAAATGAGAGCTGTGTCTGAATCCACTGTTGTCACGGAGCTAAAGGCAGTGAATTCCGCTAAAATGGTCAGGTTTTGGTAAAGAGTTGGAAGCCTTGTGCAGCTGAGATCCATTCCACTGAGTGATACCAATCTACATGTTCCAGACGTTTTTCCAGAGCTTTGTGGATTCCCAGTCTAGGTGGCTGGGTGGCGAGCCAACCGTGTTTGTGACTCTGACTTTAGACGGATTGCCAGGATCTTCCTCATCTTCATGGTGGTAGGACAAACACTAACACAAACTTAAAAGGGCCCCAACGGTGAGAAATGAACTCTTGTCAATAAAGGCAAGTGGAACTAAGGACGAACTGAGCTCAACGAAGTTAAAAGGAAGGTTTTTTTTATGTGTGCACTTTATTATTTTAGTTAGTTATTTTTCATACCTGCTTTCTTATGTATGTACCATCCCTGTGTATTTAATACACTTACTGCAAACGGTCATTTGGGTGTGGTATTCTTTTTATTGACATTCAATTCTCAGGCTCTTAACAATTTAGTGTCTTCTGATTCTGGTCCACATTGATAAGACTACTTTAGACTATTACACCTATATACATTATTACTACCTCGTGATAAGGGTTACAATGGCGTGGGCATGTATGGCTGCCAATGGAACTGGTTCTCTTGTATTTATTGATGATGTGACTGCTGACAAAAGCAGCAGGATGAATTCTTTAGTGTTTCAGGCAATATTATCTGCTCATATTCAGCCAAATGCTTTAGAACTCAATGGACGGTGCTTCATGGTGCAGATGGACAATGACCTGAAGCATACTGCGAAAGCAACCAAAGAGTTTTTTAAGGGAAAGAAGTGGAATGTTATGCAATGGCCAAGTCAATCACCTGACCTGAATCCAACTGAGCATGCATTCCTCTTGCTGAAGACAAAACTGAAGGGAAAATGCCCCAAGAACAAGCCGGAACTGAAGACAGTTGCAGTAGAGGCCTGGCAGAGCATCACCAGGGATGAAACCCAGCGTCTGGTGATGTCTATGCGTTCCAGACTTCAGGCTGTAATTGACTGCAAAGGATTTGCAACCAAGTATTAAAAAGTGAAAGTTTGATTTATGATTGATAATCTGTCCCATTAATTTTGGTCCCTTAAAAAGTGGGAGGCACATTTACAAACTGTTGTAATTCCTACACTGTTCACCTGATTTGGATGTACCCTCAAATTAAAGCTGAAAGTCTGCAGTTAAAGCACATCTTGTTCGTTTCATTTCAAATCAATTGTGGTGTATATAGCCAAAGATTAGAATTGTGTCGATGTCCCAATATGTATGGACCTGACTGTATGATAACTGAAGAAACCTGTTGGATGAGAGGCAAAATGTCTTCAAGCATCTTCAGTCAAGTCCAGTTGCCCTTGATTTTAACCCTCCTTGGATAACTATGACCTGGATGACTGAGAATCTTAACAGAAATCTATGATAATACTTAAGTAATCAGTTCAACAATGTACATTCACTGGAATCATATTTATGTAGTTATAACTTCCATTTAGCCAAAAAATAGACTTTATACAATTTTTATTTTTTTTATTCAGTTCCTTCCAAGTATTCACCACACATAGAAGTCTGGACAGGCATGGGTGTAAACTGCTACCTGACTGGTTGGCAGAGGCGTACCACTGTGGGTGGTCATTCTAGTTTAATGCCTGTAATCAGCCTTTATATGTCTTGGTGTTACATTTCAGACTGAGTCACCACAGACTCTTTTCAACAGTCATTTGCATTTCCTTTTAGGGACAATGTTTTAATAAAAAAAAAGATCTGACATTGATGAGGGGGGAAAGAGTTCAACAAAGTGCAAAACATTTCACCAGACACACACATATATATATATATATATATATATATACACACACATATATATATATATATACACACACATATATATATATATATATATACACACACACATATATATATATATATATACACACACATATATATATATATATATACACACACATATATATATATATATATACACACATATATATATATATATATATATATATATATATATATACACACATATATATATACACACATATATATATATACACATATATATATATATTATTATAGTCACTGGCGGTATGACAACTTAATTAACTTTACTTTCATTTGCATTTTACAAACTCGTGATGAAAAAGCAAAACCTTTACATGTTACATGGATTTAGGCATCATTTGGTACATACATATAATTTCATTCAAACTATACATTTCATTTAGAGATAATTTGACATTTACAGTAACCATAACAGTTTATTCTAAGGCAAGGCCATTGGCCTTTGAGTAACGTTAACAGTCAAATGGTGGGGGAGTCCATTTTTACTTATGTAGTGATAAAATAACAGCTTTTGCATACAGTTTTTGACTAACGTGAACATAAAATGAATAATAGATCATGCAAAGCAGGGGAGTGAAGTTAGGTAGTTGAAACAGTACCCATCGGAGATGAGTGAGAGATCAAATTTCAAATCTGGTGGAGAAAAGGTTCAGCAGCCCGTGCTGTCTCTTCAGTTGTTGGCAGACCAAAGACAGAGTAG